AGAGCAGGCTGTAAACCTGATAATTTCTTCTGTAAAAAATTACATTTTATTTAGGGATCTAATGGAGATTGACTCACTTTTGCAGCCAGCTTCAAGTGGACACTAGAAGAACTGCAGGTTTTTGCACTTTTCCACATTAGCTTCATTTTTCAACACTGGAGGTTGCCGCTTGGTGTAGGCCTACATATGGAGAGAGAGAGTAGACTTAGACTTTCTTTATTGTCATTCAAACTTTTTGTAATTTTGTTGCATTTGACTCGTTAGTGCAGGATAAAAACAGCAGCAAGTATTCACATAGAAAAATAATGTTCAGATATAAATAGATATAAAAAGAAAAACTATGTATAAAATTTCTATACAGATAAATATATTGCACGTTTGTGATGTATGTTATATTGTATTTTACAGTCCAGTGAAGTAGTCCTTTGTGGGGGTTTGAGGGTGAATGGAGTAGGGGACAGGAGCACAGTGCATCATGGGAAATCTCCCTGCAGTCAGAAGCACATCTCAAAGATGGTTTAGTGTTTTTTTTGTTTTTTCACAAAAAGCTTATCTTGGAGGAACGATTAGAGCTGAATCCTTAATATGAAGAGAAACCTGAAGAGAGAAAAGGGAAACCTTCAAACACTGCAGCAGTTTTCTCTCTACTGCCCTCTACTGACACTGTCTGAGGATAAACTGCAGTAATAAAGCTTTTTGTTTTGTTCATTCAGGAACAACTGTTTTAGTTTGTCTGCAGAGATTCAGAGCAGAGCTGCTTCATTTTGAGCTTCTGCTGGAGGACTCTGACCTTCAGAGGTCAAGGCAGAGCACCTGAGGACTGGGTATGATTTATTCAGAAGGCTGAGTCTTTCTAAATGACAGAGGATCATTCATGATATGTGCAGAGCCACCACGCTGGCCTCTCAGCAGCAGCAATGTCATCATGTTTACTGAAGGTTACTTCCAAGAAATCTCTGAAGCTGCTTGTCTTCAGAATCAGTCAGGGTTCAAAATATGCTGAGTCACAGCTAAAGCTCAATCATTGTTTTAATGAGCATTCATGTATTCATATTAATGTATTCATGTTAAAAGACAATGTCTTAATGTCTTTTAACATGAATATTTGCTCATAGTTGTTAGAATATGACATCAATGCATATGAGGGATTTCAAGAAACCAGTATTGTAAGTTTTGATATACTATTAAAAAACTAACAGCATTGATACCGATTTTTATAGCATGAAAACAATAAATAGAAGTCCTAGATAACAGATATTGGCATTTGATATTTGGACAGTGCTCACTCTAAAGTATTTTAAAGCTGCTGTATTTTTGGATTCTATCGCTGAATGAAATTAAAGAGATTATATTGCTTTAAAACTGGTGGTATGAAAAGTGCACTGCACAATGTGTAAATTGCACAAAAACACATTTGCGATGTTTAGGTACCAAAAAGGACAAACATGTATTCGGTGCATCACAAAGTAGCGCTGAAAAACAAAGAGGCTTGCTGAAGGCAAAGTAAATACATATCTAAATATATTTTAAACCTACATCATTATTGATTTCTTAATTGAGTTTCTGTGTTGGCATTCGGACTGGTTTGTCAATTAAGGGGTAAATAGAAATGGTAGAGGCTGCTTTTTAAAGTGGGAGCAACTTGGGGGTAAAGTATCGTGCCCAAGGACACATCGGACATGTGACCCCAAATCTTCCTGTTGAGACACGACTAATTCTACCACAAAGCCACAGCCGCCCCACTGACTGATATCTCCTCTGTACCTCATACACACTTCAAAAAATACACAAACCAGCCCATGACGGGTTGTTAAAGCTAAAAGACTCCTTTGATAATGTTTGTACTGTTCATGTCTGAGACTACAGCCGACATGTTTGATTAGTTAGAGACATGTTGTGAGCAGGGAGAGTTTATGCTGCTGCAGATCAAAGCTGTCTGCATCAGGATGTCTCAGTGTCTGCAGCTTCAGGACTTATGAATGTCTCCCCAAATCCCTCAATTACTGAATTATTGGATCTGTTTTATATCTTATCTCAGTAAAGTTGCTGCTGCGTTTCATTATCCTGAAAGCTGTAGCAGTTCAACAAGGAGCAGGCAGCGTTCAGTTTGTCAGATCAGTGAGCAGGAAACATCCTCTTCAGTTCCTCATACCAGAACAGGAGCCGTGTTATCAGCCAGCAGCTCCGTCTGTCATCGTGACTTGATCAGAGGAGGCCTCTCTCTGTCTCTCTCTCTCTCTCTCTCTCTCTGAAGGTCTCACTCAGTTGGGTTTTCAGCTTAGCTTTAGCTCTTTCAGCTGTCAGGAGGGTTAGGTTGACATTCGGTTTCAGTTGCTTTCAGAAGTTGTTTTGTTCTGTTCTGGGAGGTAATTTCTATAAAACAATGTGTTTTCTCTCCTTTGTTCTTCCAGTTTCGCTTTAAAAGACAAGGAAAGTTGAAAATCTTAGGAGCTAACGTTGATGCTGCTGCTTCCTTCACCTCTGCCTCTTCCTCTGTCAACTTCCCATTTTCAGGAGTGCGTGTGTAAAATCGGTAGATCTTGCTCTGAAAAAGGCTGAATACATTTTAAGTATTATTACAATCTCTGAAATTGTCGTACAAGAAACAGAAGGGTATCATCAGTACCACATTATTAAGCTATAATATTAAGAAAAACAACTTAAAGATGTCCGCTGTCTTAACTGATTTAAATGTGGAAACTGGGTAATCAGAATTTTGTTTGACTTGACTTGCTTGATTCTCACCGCAGTGACTTGCAACTTGCTTGAGACTTGAAGGTTGAAACTTGCTTGTGACATGTGTGACTTACTCCCATGTCTGACAAGACATCAGGAATATTTGATGACATTTTTCCGCTGACATTTTCCAGAAGATCCCCATTCACACACGTCCCTGACAGCAGGAGACATTCACTGTAGGACCGAGGAGAGGAGAGGCAAGACATGATAAAAAGACAAACAACGTGCATGTGGTGGACGAATTAACACAGTCCAACACTATGATGACAATTTTTTTGCCTTTATATCAGTGCTTTGTGTAATCGGACGTATTCAGTACTCGACTTAAGAGGGGAACAGAATACACTGTGGGCGCTTCACATACACACTCAGACATGAACACACACACACACACGGCTGTTCTGCACATCATCACCAAACAACACCAATTGTTTAAGACAGTAAGGATAATTAAAGTCAATACATTTGAAAACAATGTTTCTTCTAATAATTCTACTTCTTATAATAAGGCGGACTTTCTTTTTTATTCTTTAAAACAAAAGGTGAGAGAAAACCTATTTTTCTCTGCTGTCAATAACTGTTGGTGAAGATCAAGCCTGGGCTGCTTGGTTGTTCATGTCAGCATCATATTTGATCTTGAGCATCACTCAGTATCTGGGGGTCTTCAGCTTCTTAGCCTTGTCATGTTGTCGAGTTCACAGCAGTGGAGAGTTGTTTCTGAGCACAGGTAACACTTTACCATCACATCACAAGTTGTGTGCATATTGCTTAGCCTCAAAAGATGTCTTGGTTTGAATCCCTCTGCCAGTTTCCTCCTCCGTGAACTCGAGCAAAGATCACGTGAGTGATCTCAGATGAGTGTTGTGTTAGCATGTAAAGGGACATATGATACGTTTTTTTCTGTTCCATTATTCAGAAAATTGAAGAACTTATAGTAACAAGATCATTTTTGGATTAGTGACTACAATGTGATTAATGAAGATGGCAACAGTAATGCCTTACTTTACCGAGTTACAGACAAAACAGTAACAGTTACCCCAAACACTGGTTACTACCATAGACTGTATGTAGAATGGACAGGGAAATATCTCACCTCAAGTAAAGCCAAGAGATTTAGAGCTACACGTTGCATGCAAGGAATAAGAGGGGCGTAAATATTTTTGCCTTCAACCAGCAGTCTGTAAGACTTTAAGGGCGCGGTCACACTGGCAAAGTTGTCGTACCGTGCTGAAAGGCTTACTATGTGATTTTTTGATTCAGCAGATGTCGCCCTTGAGCACCAGCATGAAACCAAAACAACTCTGGGTGCATTGTTGTGTTAGCATGCTAATGCTAGTGATCTTTATTATGCTCGTATCTTCACACTGCATGTAAATTTACCTGAAATGATCGTAGTTAAGCAGTGAGTACAGTATGTTGTTCTTCTTTTCTCTAGTCCCTCAATTAAACAACTTTTATACGAGGGGAGGAGTCAGCCGGCCGTCCAGGCGATGTAAACAAAGTGAAGATAGGACTCTGAAAACTCTGAAAACATCACAGACAGTGGGACTCAGGTGTTACACCCATTGTAGACAGTCATGACTCACAGAGTTATTTTCAGAGGATATACTTGATTTATATTATATTTAAGTCTGAAAAATCACATGTAAAGACTTTAAGCACGATTGCCCCCTCCCCTCCCTTTGAGTCATTTTTTGTCAGATAAAGCCAGAACACTCTGAGATTTCTTCATAATAATGGCTGTCAACGTTCTTTACCTGTGTGCTTGTGCATGAACTGTACTGTGCCGAAGCACACCTCTTGCCAGGGCAAAGGAAGTGTATCGTGCTTGAGCACGGCACGGAGCAGTCACACTGGTCAAACTAAACTGGACTTCAGGGGTGAAGCGTGTTTAGGCATGGTACAGATTGCCAGTTTAACCGTGCTCTAAATATGCAGATTTGAAGCTTTCTCATCTTGGGGCGGCTATAACTCAGTGGTAGGAATCGTTTGTCTCTCAACCTGAAGGTCGGGGGTTTGACTTGCAGCCGCATGTTGAAACACTTAATCCCCCACTGCTTCGTCAGGGGGCGTATGAATGTGAATGATGGATTAGTAAATACTGATGGGACACTTAACACAGCAGCCTCTACCATCAGTGTGTGAATGTGTAGGTGTGACTTGCGGTGTAAAAGCTCTTTGATTAGTCAGAAGACCAGAAAAGCGTGCTCAAGTCCATTCACCATTAACCTCGTCTCAGGCATTAAAACAGAAAAACAACAGACGTATTATAAGAACTTTATTCAGTATCATAATGCACAGGCTTTATGTACTCAACAACTACACATTCATTATACACTCTGGTAAATAAATAACCTCTGCATTACCAAAAAGCCTTATTGACAATATACAGGTATTTACTGGCAACTTTAGGAGCCAACTCAAGTCAACGAAGCTGAAAAGATAAAATGATTTATTCATGTAAAACCGTGCGAGGAGAACAGACCCCTTGTGAGTGTTTCATTCATTCACAATCATTTATGATCAGATTTTTTCATCTTTTTGTTTCCCTTTCTAACAGAGGACCCAGGTTTCAATATTTACAAAAAAATATTCCTCTTATAAAACAAGTCCCAGAGTTCAGTTTGAAACTCAGTCTGACCGGCGGGGGGCTTTGACCGCTCCATGAGCACGCACTCTGAGAGAGAGCAACATGGTGAGTAACTAGACTAATGAAGCGGAGTCCAAAATTGTTCACTTATTATCACTTTGTCTTCATCACTCCCGCTGATCCCTGCTGAATGTGAGAGTCAGAAGGAGAGGGTGAAAATATTTCATTATTCACAGAGATGTTGACCTCCAGTCACAGCTTTGGTGTCTTTCCTCAGCGAGGACCTGCAGCAGGGTTTGATTACTAAATGCTCTGCTCTGTCGAGTAATGTTGCACAGGACACAGATGTTGGTCGGTTGTTTTTCCAGGATTCTGTGGAAGCAGAGGCGAGCATGCAGATTCACATGCATGAGGGAGGAACACACAGGAGAAGAGATGAAGAGCGTGTGAAAGAGTCAGAGCCATCGCCATCTGTCAATCACAGCTGTTCTCTAGCATTACCAGCTTCACTTTTAAAAACGGTCATTACTCGTCCCCTGAAGAATGTCCCTGTCCAGAGAGCTCACAGCTCGGTAATGAAGGGAAACAGAAACAAAGAGTAAACTGCAGCAGCTGGAGTCAGACACAAGCACTCCCTCACATCTGGAGCATCTGAAACCTGATCATAACCAAACTGCTGACAGGGACCAAATATAAACTACAAATATCAAAACCCACCAGCTTTAAAGCAACAGTATGGAGGCATTTGGATTGGTACACTTTAGCGCCTGTTTGAGGTCTGCAAGTGCAACTGCACTGTCGGAAAAAAAGAAAAATGCTGTGGCCTCTCCCTCAATGACAACCAGAGAGACAAAAGCCTGCAAAGACTTTGTGAGAAGAACAACGTCGACTGACAAGGTTCAGTAATATCACTGCATTCTGCCCAAATATGACTCTGCTAGCGTCTACAAGCTGTTGTTTGCTAAATATTTGCATGTGCGTATGTATTTAACTGGTACCATGATGCACAGTCGACGCTAAAGGGGTGATTTATTTAATGCTATTTGAGATAGGTTTGAAAAGATTCAAAACTTGTAAAGCTAACTTAAGATCAATAATGAAAGAGATCACTTTGTGGCATAAGATAGATTTAGGGTTTAGATGACTTTCTGCACCCAGTGAAGCTGCTTAACATGAGACGACGATGTCACAGATAGTGACAGCATCACAGATATTAAACAGCATAGAGACAAGCTAACTGGCTTCTTTTTAGCTGCTATGTGAACTAGTGCTTGTAAAGCCGTATGCAATTTAACTTCAACTTGCGGCTTAAGTTACATAGCGCTGAAAACAGGTGACCAGGGCTCTCGGTGGTCGACTTTGAAAATAATAAAAACATGGAGGAAAAGTTACATACTGTTGCTTTAATAACCTGTAAGCAGGAATAAAGTGGACAAACTGTGTGTGGAGTTCACTTCAGGAAACTCTGATCTCAGCATCGGGGCTTGTTGAGTTTTATATTTGTTTTTCACTCCTGATTGTTACTGTTGTTGAGTGGGCAAACAGCTGTGCACAGCTGGAGGCTTCGACCCCCTCTCCTCCTCTGTCCTCCTCCTCCACCTACGTTGACCTGATGTCAGCTCTGGGCCGCCTCCCCCCCCCTTCCCTATCTGAACACTAACAGTCTGTGGCGTAGCGCTCCCCTCGCTAGCCCTCCTCCACAGAGCTGTGATTCTGCAGCAACAACAGCTACCTTCTTCTCCTCATGCTGGTCTCCAGGCGACCCAGCTCCTCGTACGACTTGAAGAAGACTTCCAGCTCATGGCTGCCCCAGCCCCTCCAGACACACAGGCACCACTCCGTGTTTTCCTTCTGAAAGCCACATACGACCGTGTCCTTAGCCACCAGTGCTGCCTCCTCCAGGATCCTGAGAGAACGAGAGCGAGAGAGAGAGAGAGAGATGTGTGAGGATGCAGAGCGGGGGAGGAGCTAAAGCTGGTGGCATCTCTGTGCTCTGTAATTAGCTGTTCTTAGAAACCAGTGGGAAGTTCTAGGAAGCAGCTCCTGAGCATACTGAATGTGACACAGAGGTTACTGTTTGTCCACAGGCTGCTAAATAACTCAATCTGCTGTTAAATGCTCCTCTGAAGACATTTTAAAATAACAATATTTAAGAATGCAATCTCCTTTAAAGCTGACTGTAATTTATGGAAGCTGTGACACAAAGCGTTCTGGGAGGAAGGAGGGCTTTGAGTGACCCTGCAGCCATGTATCATGCACAACAACCCTGAATTATCTTTATCCATTGTTGTTTCATCTTTCTGAGGTGTGTTATTATCCTGTTTGGTGATATACAGCCGCCCGACTGCAAAAACAGGTGAGATGCCCTCTGAACGACCATTAAAAGGGGAACCTGGACCTCGTTTCACACGTTTTGGTCTGAATGACTGTAGTTTTCAAACTGTTTTGGAATAACTTAATGAGATTGTTTCATCCTGCAGCAGTGAATAAGACTGTAATGACTACAATCTTTCTGTGTCTACCTAAAGTTATGATCACCTACAGGCTCAGATTGATGTTGAAGTGTCGGACAATATTACAGAAAGGATCCCTGATAGACACTTTTGTTAAAAAAGAAGACATTTTTCTTAACAACAAACAGCTGTTTCATCACTCTCTTTAAACACACCAGACTACTTTGATATAAAAAAAAAGTAACAATGTTTTCTGCCCTGGCAGCGCCTTGACCTCACCAAGAAAACATTTGTTGAAATGACGTTCAAAACTAAGAGTTTATTTATTGTTAAAATGTTGTCTATGTTTAGACTAGATTTAGCCAGGAAATCTGCTTCTATCTAAATATTTGACTATGAATGACATCAATTCAGAATGATGATATTCAGGTGAGAGAATGAGTCTGTTTATGAGCCAATGTTTTTGTGCAATGTAGCCTTTTTTTGCCTGCAATTATGGGAATCAAAAACAAGACATTATCTTCTAGCATTTATGACTTTTGTTTTCTTGTGTTACTGTGGTATCAAACAGGTATTCACTTCCTTTGATTTTCATTGGAATTATATAAAAATGTTCAATTCTGGTACTGCAACAACTCTACGGCCAAGTTCCAAAAGTCGAAGTATTTTAATTTGAGGTTTTTTCTTTTGGGCATGTTTTCCTTTATTGGATAGAGGGCAGCTGTAGAGAAAAAGGAAATGTTGGGAGGAGAGAGTGGGGGGGGATGACAGGCAGCAAGGGATCAAGGTCGAATTTGAACCTACGGCCACTCCAATGGTGCACGCGCAGGGATGGTGCCAGGATTTTTTTTCTCCCAGGGCTGAGGGGGAGATTGACTGTTGGGGTGCTATTTTCACATTTCATTAAAAAACAAAACAAAACTACCAAAATACTTGAGGGAAGCTTAACTGGGGTTAGACAGATTTACGATTCTACAATTCTACAATTCACTTAGCAGACGCTTTTATCCAAAGCGACGTACATCAGAGAGTAAGTACAACACAAGCAAGGATCTAGAAAATAAAAGGGAAAGTCAGTAAGAGCAAACATCAGCTTTGAGTCTGATTGGACACACAGGTGCTGACAGGAAGTGACCAGAGGCAAAGCACAACATTGACGGCAGTTCTTGATAATCAGTATAGAAACCATCTTATAAGTCATTGTTATCAAACAAAAACCATCGTCATTACCATCATCATCATCAATAATATGGAGACCATCATCATTAAGTTAGTAGGTATTCATGAAAGAGCTGGGTCTTTAGCTTTTTCTTAAAGGTGCAGAGGGACTCTGCAGATCCAATGGAGTTTGGAAGTTCATTCCACCACCGGGGGGCGACAGAAGAGAAGAGTCCTGTCCTGTCTTAGGACCCTGCTGTGAAGGTTGGATCAGATGATGGGGCTATAGCACCCCCTAGCCCCAGTGTAGCGCCATGCTTGCACGCGAGATAACCGCTAGGCTAATGGTGCCCCTGAAGTATTTTTTTGAACAGAAAAAGAAGCTGATGCCAAGGGCTTTGATGCTCGGGGAATGCTGAACTCTTAAAAACGCTCAACTGAATTGGATTTGTTTAGAAAATGGGTGGGGCGCGAGTAGCCTAGTAGTTAGTGCACTCGCCCCCATGTACGGAGGCTATGGTCCTCCAAGTGGGCGGCCCGGGTTCAAATCTGACCTACGACTTCTTTCCTGCATGTCATTCCCCACTCTCTGTCTAACTTCATGTACCTCTCTGTCACTTGAGGCCTGAAATATGTTTGAAAGGTAGCAGGTCTACAGTGATAACTCAGGGTTCGATCCTTTAAGATCGGGTGAATGTCTCCATTCAGAGAAGCAGGTACAGTACGGTAAGGTCAACAGGAGCTATGAAACAGACCTGAAGACCTCTCCCCTGACCTGAGCCGTGACCTCAGAGCGTATTACCTGCATTACAGGTGCTCCATGTAATAGGTGCTTATTAAGGAGCCTGCATTGGGTGGCCCTTTTATTGGCTGCTGCTAACAGGCAGGCCGCTCTGCAGAGGTTCATACAGAGGCTCTCTTTTTCCACAGAGGAGCAGCTGCTTTAAAGAAATAATGATGGAGTCAGTGGAGCTCCATAAGCACACGATGAAGGATCCTGTGAAGGCTCAGGGTTAGAAACCTCTTTATTACAACCTAATATTGAGGTTCTTTTTGTTTTCCTCCTCACATCTAAATGGTTTCATACACAACTGGTAAGAAGGCTCTACGCAGGTGGAAGAAAACACACTAAGACCCTTTCATGACTGAGGATTTAAACCCAAAATTAAAGAAACATTTAAACAAATTTGCATCAAAGTTTGATAATTAGACACCAACAAAAAAAAAGAAAGTCTCACAGAACCAGATGCACAGGCGTTTGGAGTGTTAAGAAAAGGAACTCTTGCCTGGAAGTTATTCAGCCCTTCACTGGAATAACAGAGGATTTTGCATCCACCCCAGAGGCATAAAGTCCATCAAACAATGACAGGCGATGATTGCAAAAGGGTTCTGATATTCTATGTCTCATTTGTAAAATCAAAAACAATCGATGCCACTTTTTCCCGTCTGGGGTTGCAGGGAATGGAGCCCCCCCCCCGTAGTATAATGGCGTATGTCAAGAGTGTGACTCAGGCTGTTTTATTTTGCCTAAGTCAAAAGTCAATGTGACTTAAGCAATTTTACCTAAGAGAACGACAACATCCCACTCGATCACTGAAGTTATTTCCATGATTCAGGGCTTGTGCCCCCACCTCAGCATTACAGTATGTTTAGTTAGTGTGTTAGCTATGCTTTATTGTTGAATGTTTAAAATTGTCTAAATCACAACGGCATGTGAAAATTTTTGCCAAAGTCATTTATAACTCTTGTGTTACATAATTGACAGAAATTGTTATTAGTATGTCAATAGCCATCTATTGTAATAACATTTTGAGTGAAAGAATGAATTAATATCATATATTCAATATTTGGATCAGTTTTTTGTGTTTTCTGAAAAACTTGAAAAGATTACTGAGCCCATTATTTTAGGAAGGGGACGATATCGAGACAGACATCCAGCCACTCTCACATTCACACCTACGGGCAACTCAGAGTCACAAGTTAACCTAACGAGCATGTGTTTTGACTGTGGGAGGAAGACGGAGTACCCGGAGAGAACCCACACAAGCATGGGGAGAAAATACAAAGTCCACACAAAGAGGCTCCTGTCTTATGGGGATTTGAACCAGGAGTCTCCTCAAGACAACAGTACTAACCACTGCACCACCATGCGGTCCAATCTAAATCATGTTAAAGGTATAATACGCAACCTTCAGAGTAGATGTCCAGTAGATGTTGCACTTCAGCACCAGTCTATCAAACCAAAACAAAGCTGTCCCTTCAGTTCACTGCCTTCCCCTCCTCCCCCTTCACCCCTTCCTCAGTGTTCAGAGCGAGTGCAGCTGTTTGTAGGATTCTGATATGCAGTCCAAAGATGATTCACTTTTTATTCTAGACCAAACAAAGTCTTTCCTTCAGTTTGTTAAGTATGTTGGTTCTTCTTCAGTTGTTCATTTAAGATGACAGTCTGCCATTATCTCTTTAAAAACATCTTCATTTAGTGGACGGGCTATCTCTCTTACCCCGTATGATGGATAGAAAGAACGGTTAAGCCTGGCTCACTCTGTGCGATTTTTCCCAGATTGTATAAAAGTCGAGGTGGCATCACACTGTACGACTGAATCGTTTATGACGCCTGACCAGACCTTATGTGCTCACACTGTACGACTGAATCGTTTATGACGCCTGACCAGACCTTATGTGCTCACACTGTACGACTGAATCGTTTATGACGCCTGACCAGACCTTATGTGCTCACACTGTACGACTGAATCGTTTACGACGCCCGACCAGACCTTATGTGCTCACACTGTACGACCTGATTGTCGGGCACGGCCGGAGAGTTCACACTGTACGAGTGAAATCAGGACGGAGCGTTGACAATTGTTAATAAAGTTTAATTTGAAAAAAACAAAGGACGATGGTTGGTGAAAGAAAAGGAAGTTGAAGTTGTTGTAGGATATAGAAAAGTTGATACAATCGTAGATATATAGATACAAGTTTCAGAAAAGTCCTGCACTGATGATCTGTACAGAAAAGTAAAAAAAAAGAAAACGCCGGGTCGCCATGACTACAGTCCTCCTTTGTCTCTCGTGATTATATTGTAGTCACACATAACTTCTGCCGGACCCTTTCATGACGTTATCGTCAAGATTTTAAATTCTAAATATCAAACATGTTTGAAATAAATCGGGGCGTCCCTGACGATCACCGGACAGATCGGGGACGTTAAGATTGGATCTTTGTACCGCTCACACTACAAGATAATCTGAACAGATAATCGGGTCCGAGCAGCCTCGAGTCGGGAAGACCCTGAGATTGTTGGAAAGGAAGAATCGGAGCTCAAATCGATTATCCTGCAGTGTGAACAGGCTTTAGAGAGAGAGAGGGGTTCACGAGAAAAAAGAAAAAAAAAGTATGAAACGGATGTGTATTTTTGTGAAATTCTATGTAGTTTGCAGTATGTTAGTAAGCGGTTTCAGACACAGCCATCAGTACGTTTCTTTTGCTATATTTCATGAAGGCTGCATTAAAGATTAATGATAAAAGTCCACGAAATATGATGTAAATCAACAGTGAATGAAATGAAATATCAAGACTTTTCAGACGTAAAGAAAGTGGTTACAAATGAAACTTCTATGGTACATCACGGAGAGGTGAGCTCACCCTAAAGAGAACATCCGGGTGGACTGAGGACGGCAACGACACGCCCCCTCAGCTGGTCAGCATGGGGCTGAATCTCAATGACCATTATGTCTCCTCCACGCCTAACACACAAACAACACAAAACACACAGCACATACACAGAATCTGAGAATGAGATGATCCCTTCATTTAATGTGAGTTCAGTGTGTTATGATGCTGATTGTCTTTGTGTTGTGTTGAGTGTGTGTGTGCAGTGTTGTGTACCTGGGGACCCATAACGTGCCATTCACTGACAGCACAGTGAAGGCTTGTAGCTTTGGCAGTGTAGTAGTGTTCAGGGTCCCTGCAGAGTCCCGATTGCTTTCAGGGTTGGTGGATAACTGCTGGTTCTGGTCCCTGCAATTCTCCTCCTGGTCTGCAGGGGGCGCCACACTGTTGAGTGCAAAGCTGGAGCCGCCTGAGCCTGGCAGCTCCAGGTAGCAGGACGACGACGTGGAGCAGCAGTCCGTCAGTGAGTCCTGATGCTGGATGATCTGAGTGCCCGCCTCCTCGCTGTAGATCAGCGAAACGTCGCCGCCATTAGTCCGGTCTTGCTGCTCCCGCTGCTCTGTGTGCTCAACATCTGTTACCATGGTTACACCTGCAGGCCGCTGCACGCTAAAGATATCCCGCAGAGGATGAATGTCTCCACACCTGAAATCACGACATTAAAATGTTTTTTACTAGTTTTTTTAACACTGTTTTTTTGTTTATTTAGATTTGAACTTTTTTAAAAGTTTTATTTAGTTTTAGTTTGATGGAATATGACAATCTTGTCAGGGGGAGAGACTGAAAAAGGACATGCTGGAAACACAGACAGAAAGTTATCTCACATGCTGCCTCAGTCAGGAGCATCTCCAGGGTTTCTGAGCCACTCACACGCCCCTTACCTGGTTCCACTCTTATCTCTCAGGCTGCACTCAGTTCATACAGCTCAAATCCTTCAAATCCGAGCCTTCCCCAGTCACTACAGGTGTGCCCCAGGGCTCTGTCCTGGGGCCCCTTCTCTTCATCGCCTACCTTCTCCCCCTTGGTAATATTTTCCGTAAATTCAATATACTTTTCCACTGCTTCGAGGATGACACCCAGCTCTACCTCTCCAGTAAACCAAACTCCACACTTCCACCCTCCTCCCTCACTTCTTGTTTATCTGAAATAAAATCCTGGTTCTCCTCAAACTTCCTTAAATTAAACAGTGATAAAACCGAGATCCTTCTCGTCGGCACTAAATCCATATTATCCAAAGTTGGCAGTTTCTCCCTCACTACTGACAGCTCCTCAGTTTCCCCTTCCCCTCAGGTTAAGAGTCTGGGTGTCATCCTCGACAGCATGCTATCGTTCAAATCCCAAATCCATAACATTACCCGGTCTGCATACTTCCTGACGAAACATCAACAGTCTCCGCAGCTCTGGAACTCTCTGCCCCCTGACATTCGCAACATTGACAATCTCTGATCTTCAAATCCAGACTCAAAACCCATCTGTTCAAGATCGCCTACTCACTCTAACATTTTAACTGCAATTACACTGTCCTACATTTCATTTCTTTATTGTATGCTGTTTTTAGCCATCGTTGTTTTTAAATGTTGATTGTTGTACAGTGTCCTTGTGTGTCTTGAAAGGCGCTTACAAATAAATGTATTATTATTATTACTTTTGTTGCCATGTAATCTAAACAGATATCCTTAAACTCTATTGCAATACAATGTAAGAATAAAACGAATGAAACAATGTATTATCCGCATTTAAAAAGTGCTTTTTAGCATCTGACAGATTTAAAACAATAATTTAAGAGTAGAGAGTGAGAGCTATGCATGTTCTTATGCATCCTCCAGTTTTCCTTTACCTATAACAGAAAAACAAATCTTAAACACTATAGACTTGTTTAAGGGCTGCTGGGTAGTCAGTCCCACTTTGCCCCCGGACTATGACACCCATGGGCAACAGCTATAGAACTGGAGGTCAAATCCACCCAAAGTATCCAGCAGGTGTATAAAGAAAAATGACAAAAATAAAAACATTTTCCATAGTAGTTAGTTGTGTCATTACAAAAAACTGTTTACATCAGACATTGTTTTTTTCTAGCTTCGTTTACACTTTTATTTCAGATAACAAAAGAGCCACTCAGAAGGCAAAGGCCATCCTGGAAGACACTCAACCCCCTCTGCATGCTGAGTTCAGACTCCTGCCTACAGGGAGGAGGGTCACTTATGTTAGGAAGGCCAAATCAAACCTGAGACATACCTGAGGATGTTTGTCCCATCAGCTGATGGGTTTTTGAATAAGCTGTACACTTCTACTATGAACTGTTGGTTCAGGTTGGGCTTTTGACCTTGTATAATCAGCAGGTCCTGAGGAAAGCTAGGGCCATACTTGTGATCCCAGATCACCCACTTCACAGTGAGTTTGACCTTTAACCCTCAGGTCGTCGTTTTAGAGCTCCTGTGAGAAAGACTAAAAGACTCCAGGTCTCATTTTTACCAAGTGCAATTCATATGTTAAACAACAATTAGCTATTTGTTGCTCTTTTTGCACTTGAATTGCACATTTGCACATCTCCACTTTGCACTTTAATGACTTGAATTTCCATTCTGGTATGGGCTCTTGACTGATTATATTGTGCTGGTTTTATTTGGTTTTATTTTTTGCTGTGTTGTCTGATTTTTTTAATTCGTTTTGGTCCATGTTTTATGTTGATGTTGTCCTTGTGTTTCTTGTCTTCTGTGTGCTTCTGTTGCAATGCAAATTTCCCCTTGTGGGAGAATAAAAAATCTGAGTCTGAATCTGGTCTTTGTGTCACTTATCTCACTCACGTCACTCATGATGATAACCATGGTAGTAATGTTTTATATTTATGTCTTTGATGTTTTTTTTTATACATGTATTGTCTTTATTGACCTCTGTTTCAAACTACATTGCCCCCCTTGGGGATAATAAAGATTTTCCAATCCAATCCAAAAAGGTTTTGGTTACTCACCAGTACTTGGCACACAGTTGGTAGGAGGCTGCGTGATAGAGCAGCAGGGTGTTGGTGTGGTCGTCCAGTGTCCACACCGCCTCCTCCCCCCAGAGGCTGAAGCTGGTTGTCATGGAGATGATGGTGGACATTGGGCTGTAGGTCTCCAGCCTTCGAACTGCCTGAAGGTTCTGACAGTCGATGACCAGAACACCCGGACCGTTGGAGAACCACAACTGGTGAGCACAGGACAATGTGGTGAAACTTAAGTGTTCAACGGTCCTTGACACCTAATATTTGCAAATTTATTGTTTTTTATTGAATGAAAAATTGCAGGTAAAGCCCTTCACACTGTCTTAATGCATACTAGTTTATTTTTGTGTTAATGTACTGCCCTCTCTTTCTCTCGCTGCAGCTTTTGTTTAAAATATGACTGAAGATCTGCAGTATTTCTTAAAGCTTCTCTACTTTTCCATACTATCAATCATTAAAATAACAATGATTGGGGCGCTGGTGGCGCAGTGGTTAGTGCACGCGCCCAATGTATGGAGGCTGTAGTCACAGGTTCAAATCCCACCTGTGGCTCCTTTCCCGCATGTTATTCCTGACTCTCTCTCTCCCTGATTTCCAACTCTATCCACTGTCCTGTCTCTACATTAAAGGCACAAAAAGCCCAAAAATAAATCTTTAAAAAAAGAATAACAAAGATTATATTGTATTAAAACAAGTAATATCAAAAAGTATCAAGAATCAAAAAATGTCAGTACAGTTTGGATGATTGTTTTGGAAATGCTTTAGTAGATTACTGCAGCCAGGAGACGAAACACCTTCAGGCTGTATTAGAGTCTTTTAGGGTAAATATGAGTGATAAATATACCTTTCTCTCCCTTAGTAAGAGCGGAGAGAGGACATATTTACATTTAGACAACTCTGTCGGTTTTATTTTCATGTCAACGTGTGCAGACTTATGAGAAGTTAGTTTTACCAGTTTTTTCTTGTCATCATTTTTGTTGCTTTTTTTAAAACGTTTTTTTTTCTCCACACAGAAGTGTTTGACAGCTGCAGAAGTTTCAGCATCTTTCTCACGTTCTGAATCTCACAGCCTGACCTGTTTTATCAGCACCTGGCATTAATGTTGTCAGACACTTACAGTACAGCCTGTCCTAACTGTGTGGGCGCGTCAGTGGCAAAATCAGCTTGAATCAGTTGTTTCCTACTGAAGTGTCCCAACAGCCCACGAGTGAGGCATTACCCCAACACCCTGTTTCTATCTTCTTTGCCATCGCTTTCTTAGACATGTACAGTGTTAATCTTCACACCATTTTCTAATTTAGTCATAGTCTCCTGACGGAAATGTAATTTTATATTTAGTCAGATATTACTCATTTGTTTTTGGTTTAATTTAGTCAATTAGTCACTGACTAAAATTGCACATCATTTTAGTTGATGAAAATAGAAGATATTTTAGTCAACAAAATCCGATGTGAGCTTTTATTTTGATTATCAGAAGCTCACTGCTGTATTCAGGTGCTGCTCGGGTGGTCCAAGCTTCCGAGTTGGGAAGTCGTTTTTCCGACTTCAGTGTGTTCATGTGATTTAAGTTCAGAAAGTTGGAATGTTATAACAACAGCACAAACAAGCGTTGATGCTACAAAGAAGATCAGTGAAATGAACTGTTAAAAAGTTATATTTGATAAAAAAGTTGATGTGCAATACGTGACTTAATAAAAAGTGTATTGACATAAAGAAAAAATATTTTGCTCCCCATTTGATGACGATTCTGACATGAAATTTTGTTGACAAGATTAACACTGCATGTACAAGGAAAGAGGAACGAGGGAGCTTGATTGGACGCACGGAGGATAACATTGCAGTTATTACAGCCTGTTTCACTGCTGCAGGCTTAAGACATCTACAGGAGCCAAAACCTTCTGATCTTTTAGAGTCCCCTTTTACTCATTGTCCATAATGTCCAGACATGGTCTCTCTCCTGAATCCATACTTTCATTTTCTCCAGCAGCCCTCTCAGCTCATCAACACAAGAGTCCAGTCTTGATTGTGAACTCACCTGGGAGCCGCTGCTGACCAGAGCCATACTCCTGATGGGGTAGGGTCTCTGCCTGGGATCAGAGTCCTTCAGACCAAACACTGTCTTGTTGAGAGTGTGTGAACACAGGTACGTCTCCCCGTCCACAGGTAAGTCTTCCACTATACTGTACACAGCCAGCAGTCCGTCAGACATCCCAGCAAACACCTGGGCCAGGCTCTAAACAGGTGGAACACAGACATCTTTATATTTCTAATAATCAGTTGACACCTCCAAGACTCTTCAAAATGCTTCATGTCTTCATGTTTCTCAGTCTGAACACTTTTACCTCACGTTTCCCCCCCAATACTGCAGTAAAGAATCACTGCATTGAATAAAGTATTACGTTGTCATGAGACCTGAACTTCTTGCAGTAAGAGCAACGAGTACTGGTGCAGAGCAGAGGGAGAGGCCGGGATCCTGGAGCTTAAGTAGACAGACTTATTATGAGAATGTGTTTGTCAGGTGATCGTGGAGAATAATGCACGTCGGCGTGAAATCAGTGCAGCTTGAGTTGTCTGCCTGAACTAGCTCGCTGGCATCACTGCATAATAAAAGTCACATTCAAGGCTGGGCAGCTTCAGCAGCTTTATCTTGGGTGCTGCTTTTTTTTCCCCAATTCAGGTCCACACTGAACTCCTATAAGGTTACATCAGTCTCATGTTTTTATTTTAATCTTTTTACTTCATATTATCTTTGTTTGGAAAACATAGGATCTCTACTCAGTTACAGAGTGTTAAAATGTGTATACTCCAATCTGACAATTGATAATTTCTAGTCAAAAATATCTAATTAAACTTGATATAAGTCACAAACAACTGAAACATCCAGATAAGCATCTTATTTCAAGATATAAGAAGTGGAAAATAAGGCCTGACTAGCTAGAAATACATCTTGAGCCATGTTAGAGTGAACACTCCCCCCCCACTCTCTGTTTGAGGAGATAGCACCCTGCTAACACCTGGATCCCACCAGTCACCCCCCCCCCCACCATACACACACACACCTGTGTAGCTCTTACATGACGACAACAGGTCTGAGGTCAGGGATCAGCGACCGTACACATTAGAGAACGTCTTTTCCCACAGAAGCATTGTTTTACGCTCCACTCTCACAGTTGTTTTTCAGACAGTGAGACGTTTAAGGACCGTTACATCAGGTATGTGAGCTTTTAGTGTTTAGTGACTCTACTAAAAGTGAGAACATCACACCTGTTCAGGTCCCGAGGCCAAACAAATCAGAGATGTGAAGTCTGGAGACATGTACCTGACTTACACTCTTGGTGTGTGTGTGTGTGTGTGTGTGTGTGTGTGTGTGTGTGTGTGTGTGTGTGTGTGTGTGTGTGTGTGTGTGTCTGTGCATGTGTTGTTTGCTCACCTGGTCTCTTGCTGGGACGGGGAACAGACATGTGATGACAGCGGGGCATGAGAACTGTTTCTGGGGCTGACTGAGAGGACACATGTCCTTCAGACTGTAGATGAAGACGTCCTGCTCCTGTCAAGAACAAACATGCGCGCACACACACACACACACGCACACGGACACAGACACGGACACAGACACGGACACAGACACGGACACAGACACAGACACGGACACGGACACAAATGTGCATACATGTAAACACACAGCTTAGCATTAAGACTGCAAAAAGAGGACAGCAGCTGGACTGACTGTGACAAAAACCTCCACCAGTTGTCATGTTTGGGTAAATAAGTTACAAAGCTATAAAACATTATATCTGTCCATTAAAATGAGGTTTTGCAATATGAGGCCTTATGGGCACTGACCAAATGAGAACCAAAGGAAGCCAAATATGGAAATGCAAAAAAAACTGCAATTCCTTGAGTGTCCACTTGAGGCTGTCTGTAAAAGCCAAGAGAGTCACATTCACACCTGTATGAAAAATATCTATTAACTAAATACAACAGCCTGGTTTATATATATATATATATATATATATATATTTAATTTAAATAAGGCAAATAGTTCTGTTTATATTCTTTAAAATAAGGGGCGGGACTGCTCTGACTGACAGGTGGGTGTAGCTGTTTGTCAGGAGACTTGAGGCCTCCTTCAGCTCCACCTCTCAGGTCTGTTCCTAGATTGATCTCAGGTCAGGTAGAGGTCACCTGTAGAGAGGTCTTAAGGTGAGCAGCACCAGGGTCCAAGATAAATTTAACCAAAGAGACAATTACATGTATCATGCCATATAGTATCGTCAATTATTGTGTCATGCCTTATCAGGCCTCATCATATCATATAGTGTCGAGTCAGGTCTACTCGGTCATGATGTGTTGTGTCATGTCCTCATGTGTATCAAAATATTTTTTCCTGTGTATACAAAAAACAGTTTTGTAGTCGTCCTTGGAAGATGCACTGATAATGCTCCAGGCATTCCAGGTTTTAAAACATTGCTGCTGCTCTGCTGGCCGTAGGTTGGCCTGGTGAAAACGGTAATGTGTCTCAGGATGTGTTATGTACCTCAGTGGCCATCCACAGAGTGTTCCCCATCTTCATCTGACAGCTGATCTTGCTGCCTGGACACAACATCCTCTTCACCTCCACCTGGCCCTTCTCAACATTCACCACGCTGTAGTTCCTGCACGCACACACACACACAAAAACACACACATTTTATTCCACCTGCAAATCACAGAAAGTTGAATCTTCTATTGCAAAAGTTGGAAACAGAAAAACTGAAGACGTTCTAACATAGCTAATTTGGCTTAGGGAATGTGCCAGAAGCTCCAGCGATGGATGCGCGCTTTTATTTTTGGGGATTTTTGACCACAGCTGACTTTTTGTGGGCCTTATTTTTCCTTTAAGTACCTTTACACTTCTCTTTGTGTAACAGGTGAAAAAAAGTTTCAAGAAAGAGTTTTTTTTTCCAGGTTGTTTGTTGTTGTATCCTTCAGCCACAGGAAGCTGTATTTCACCTCTACAGGTGACTTTTATATCTTCATGTGCTCTTAACACAAAGAAGCAGCAGACTGCAAATTCACTTAACTGTCTGTCATGTTAAAATTCATAAAGTGTGTGTTTCAATGTTTCTGTGAAATTAGTGAAAAATGATAATTTGTTGGTTCCAAAGTTTTTTTTGCCATGCATGAGACCAAGTTTTAATTAAATGTAACATTCAATTAATCAATTGAATATAAATGTATTTAAGCATGTTTTTAAAAAACTCATGCTGACCAAAAAAGCTGTACAACAAAGAGAGCCTTAAAGTCTTAAAGGTAAATAAGTTTACTAAAGGGACGTGATGAGATTATAAACCCAACAGGACAACTCAGTGTTAAACATTTGAAACACTCCACAGCTCTGAAGTGAACAACATGAACAATGGATGTATGTAGAAGACATTTTGCATTAGTTCACCTATGTTCTCTTAGAAGTGTTACATCATGTTAAATTAACGTGGCAGGAAAATACTAAACATAGAGTATGCTTAGAAAAATTACTTAAACGGTGATTAATGTATATTTATACAGTATAAATGATTTCTCATGCTCAAAATGGATCCTGATCAACACTTAAAACGCAGACCAACTTTTCAAACATTTCTCCCACAGGTACAGCACAGTAACGGTCATGTGATTGTATTTCTTTTCCTTCTTTCAGTTCACAGGCTGTCAACAAACATGTTCAGGGAGCTCGTACACACTCGTTTGGTCGTGAGCAGAATAAACTAAGAGAAGATTGGACTCTGTTTCAGGCAGGTAACAAGGTCGTGACACAGTGAAGGAGCAAACGACAGGAACGAGTCTACAGCCGTCATTAACACCACCTGTATGACAGGATCAAAGCTGCTTTCATTGGACAGAGATTACTGTGGAATCCGCACACGCACCCGCACACACAGAGGGAAACCTCTCAACCAGGTGTGTGTATGTGAAGTGTGGTTTGAAACAAACCTCTCCTGCTTGTCTCCGTTCCAGAACACAGCACTGTATCCCTGCAGCTGAGACAGGAAGAGCTGCGCGTGGCTGTCGCATGACATCACAAACTTTAGGCATGGGAAGCTGGGCTCCTGCATCTGTCTCAGACACTGCGCAGACACCGGCCTCTGAACACACACACACACACACACACACACACACACACACACACACACACACACACACACACACACACACACACACACACACACACACACACACACACACACACACACACACACACACACACACACACACACACACACACACACACACACACACACACACACACACACACACACACACACACACACACACACACACACACACACCACACACACACACACACACACACACACACACACACACACACACACACACACCACAATTACTGCTGCACAGAACATGAACTTAAAGATATGTTCAAAAAACAGGACAGAAACAGGGTAAAAGGAATCAGTTTTCTCTATCAAAGGCTGAAAACTCTGGAACTAATAAAACAAATCTCAGACTGAGCATTCTGTACTGTCACATGGTCGTATACGTATTTTAATGTATCCTCATATAGTGTTATTAGGGGTTTAGGTGATCTATTGTTGTACATATTTACTCAGTTTGTTTTCCCCAAAGGTCCAACTAGGGAGTCAGAAATGAGCAATAGCTGTAAACTTTCTGTGCAGCACATCAGTTTCATGCTCTGTGTTGAAACTATGATAAAATGCATTGTCCCTATTAAATAAATACATTCAAAGATGTAAGCTATGAGGAATATAAGCTTTTTTTTCTTTTCTTTTTTTTATTTAGGAAAAGCATTCTTCACACATTAGTAATTACACATAATAGCAGAATAATTGCAAGACTCCTCCCTCAAACTTTCAAACATTGGAGCACTTTCTTTGCAGAAAGAGGGGGGTACGATGCTCGCAGTATATTTAACAATTTAGCTCTTTTTTTTGAGGAATATAAGCTTTTATGATGATTTCCATTGTGTTCAGTAAAGTCCATAACTTGCAGTTTCTGAGCAGCCGTGCAGCTCTTTAGTACCATATGTTTTCAGCATGTGGAGTTTGTAATCTGCTAGCTACCTGTTGAGCACTCAGCCTACAGAACGCTAACGTTGATAGTTGTGAAGTACAGACCCTGTACTCTGTCCACCCCCTCTGCTCACTTGGAGTCTTTAACTGAAGAGTCTTTGCATTGAAATCAGCTCTCAACAAGGTTTATGTACTTAATAGTATCACAAGCACGATGATGACCTCATGGTCGATTAAAGATGGTAAAAAGTGGCGCTGCCCGCCTGCTCAGTGTTGTTATGTTTCCCATTACGCAGCCGCTTGCAAAACACAATGAAAGTGGGGGGGATGTTCAATCGTGAAGTCCTCATGTTTTGGTTTTGTTTCAGAGAGAGTTTGGGCTAAAATAATCAGTACTGTATGTGTGGTGTTTTGGTTTCACACAGGGTCTCCCGGGTGAAGGATAAACTACGTTGGGACAGTCGTGGTGCTCGCTGTGTCGTGCACTTTCATTTAGACCACATTCATTCAGGGTGATTTATTGTTTTTTTTTTAGGAAGTCCCCTAAAGGCCCGGCCATGATCTCAAACAGGCCTCCCAGTTTGAACAGTTGTTTATCTGGACCACGAGTAGAGTGGTGTGCAAAGACGTGGCTCTTTGTGGTTAGCTGTGCAGTTATGCAGGCTTTTCTCCTACAAGCAGTACATCAGAGGAAAATACAGAAACTTGTGAGTTCTTCATCGGCCAAAAAACAAAATGTGTAAACAGGGGGAGGGCCAACCTTCTCGGGCTTGGTGTCCCAGCATTCAGTCAACAGGGTCTGCAGGCAGGTGAACTGAACCTCTTCTAGACTGCCGAGCACCGGCCGGATGCCTTTGGAGAGTTTCTTAGAGATCTGCAGCTGGTGGTGTCCCAGAGCGGGCCTCTGCCCTGACAGCAGCTCGTACAGCACCATGCCGTAGGAGAACATGTCCACCTGTACACAACATGAAGACAAAAGGAAGGTCTGAGGAGGGTGTGAGGACTCTGTGGTTCTTTATAAGCTGCTATGTTGAGTAGTTATTTCCCCTCACACACTGCAATGGACCAAATAGTTAAATAGCAGAGAAATATAGAAAAAGCAGTGTATGTAAACAGACTTTGAAACATCGTTACTGTGAATATAGAGCTTGTAATTGTTATAAGACACGATGCATTTCAACAGGTGTAAATATCAATTAATGCCAAAAATTAACAGCTTTTTATAGCTGAAGTGAAACGTGAAGTTTGTGGTGCTGTGACACTTAAATCAACAACATTATCATGCTCTAAATGTATGCATGAAGATGTCAAATATTCCATTAACTTAAGCCAGACTCCAACCAGCAGTCATTGTGTCATTAATAATATGACACCAACAAAAAGTAATAATAGTGAATTATAAGCATATTTTTATTTCCAAAGTTCACATTTGTGTTTTTTTATTATCATTGACAAACTTTGGTTTTCACCGGAATAAAGCATGTGAGGCTTAGCAGTGCAACAAGGGTGAGTGCTACCAAATGGGGCCCCCTTAAGGAGGGCTTTACTATTGTCATTGCAAACTTTGCACATCGTGAGCCACTGCTGGAGTTTAAAGTGTCAGCCCACATGGGGCCCCTGCTGGCATAGGGCCACAAGCAGCTGCCTGCCTAGCCTGTTGACAAGCAGTACCTCTGCTAAAGATCGTTGGGATGGTTCTTCGTTTCCTATGCCAGAGGAGGTAAGAGAAGAAGAAATAAAGAACATTTTTTCGGCATTGGGAGACTTTGACCGTCTGTTTTCATGGCAGCCACTGTAGTACTGTTTGGTCGTTTCACAAAGTCAGCACCAGTGAACCTCTGGAGGGTTACATATGCATCCATCTCTGCCTGCAGCCACATAATCTGTAGTAATCCTTTTTAAAAAACTAATGCAGATCACAGTTTAAACCATAGTCCGTATGAAACATGGACAAAGTCTCTGATGACACCCTTTGGATAATGAAGAGGAGTTATGAAGCTCAACGATATCACTCACCATTTTGGAAATGCTGACTGTACCTAACTTTAGATCAATACAGAAACAGACAAAGAGGTGGAACTGAGAGACCTCCTAATAAACAACCATCACATCCACCTGTCACTCAACTCAGCTCCTGATTATGCTAATTTAAGCAAAAGTCCTCGGCTTAAAATAGTCAAAACAGATGAGTAATAATGAATTCACCCCCCTATAGATGTCATGAATAGAGAAAAGAGCTATAGAGATGTAAATTTAATGTAAACTGCAGATGTTTACTAACTCTAAACTAACTCGGGTACAATTCATCAAATTGCAACATTTAACATTTATTATTGTACATGGTCCATTCACAAATAAAATTAATCAATTTAAATGAGGCCCTATTCCTTGGATTTTCTTTCTTTCCACCTCTTTTGCAGGCAGCCTCTAGTGGACACTCAAGGAACTTCAGTTTTTTTGCACCTCTGCAATTGTTTCCTTTATACACACAAGGTTGTCACTTGTAAATACATCACATCATCCCCCGTTTACACACATCATCAATCAATCTGTGATCAAATCAGCTGGACGAGAGCAGACAAGAACCTTTTTGTCTGATAAGGGAAGTCATTCATCTTCATCAGAACAGAGTCCACTCATCATATCACTAGGTGTGGATCCAAAACAAGAACAACAAGCGCATCCTTGAAGGACTTAAATAGCCGAGTGGATTCCTGTGTTGGAATTGTTACAGATAGAGACTGGAGAGATTTCCCAGAATATCTGCAAAGAGACAAACAAGAGCCAAGAGCACTCAGCTACTTCTGTGCTGTGAGGTCACGCGTCACAGACTCCAGATGTCCTTCAGATCTGTGGTATGACGACGTTTCACATGAGCTATGTGGTTTATTTATACAAGAAAGTCATGGCTGTCCTTTTTTTTCTCTTTTCTTCCTTGTTCAGCATTTTGAATATTGTGATATTGTGGTGCTGTGTAAAACCTTCAGGCAGTTATAGAGAGGTAGAATGCATTCGTTTAATATCTTAGGTTCTAAATTTAGAGTCTAAATGACTAATAGGTGTATAAAGTTTTGGGATTATTCAGCCTGCAGCAGCAAACCAGGAGTTAAAGGCTACAATATAATCCTTAGAGACAATTCACCCTAACAAAGTGTGTCCACTAAAAGTTGTTTCATATGTCACTCATGACAGGCTAAGATTATTATTCTGTGTCTGACAACATTACCACAGTGAGGGGTTTAATTAGATGGATCAGAAGCCACAATCAAAACGATTGCAGATCATGAAGACTGAATGGTTTGAGAGTGTACAAAATATTCTTCACAGAAAAGCGTCCAAGTTATATGAAGTCTGTTAGTCTACGTTTTTCAGTTATCCTCATTCTTCTGAGTGCAACAGTGTATTTCATCTGGAAGACAAACACAGTGTCCATGTTGTTATTTTCAATTTCCTAATCTTTGTCGTATCTTGAAATGCATCATTTCCTTAAAGCGGTTAAACACTTGTGTTTAAATAAATTAAATCATCTCCAAGCTGTAAAGCTTTTTTTTTTTTTTAGATCAGTTTAAACCATAAACTATATATAAACATGGGCGTAGTCTCAGTGATGTCATCCATTGGTTTCTGAAGGGCGGTTTGGAGGCCAATGGCGGTTGCCATATTGGAAGTGCTGACTCCATCTTACTTTTGGTCAACCGTAACGACAGGCAGAGAGCTGGAGCTGAGGCCACCTTAAGCCTCATGACAAACCGCTGCAACACGACCCAGAACCCAATCTGTCACACCCCTCGTTATGCATGACTCATATCCTTCATAAAAGTCAAAACCAATCAAAATCACTCCCTGTATAGTGTGCGCCGATAAAGAGATCAACAAATCAGACCATAATTGTTTTTGAACCAGGCTGTGAACATGTTTTGTTTCTTCTGTCAAAACAGACATTTTAATATTGCTGTGTATAGATATTTTTGGAGTCAGCCTCAAGTGGATAATTGAGGACCTGCTTTTGCACTTCCACATGCCTCATGGTTCAACAGAGGAGGTTTCCTCTTGGTTTAAACTACATGTATGGTTAACAAAATGATTAATTAAGTGTTTATTTTTCAAAATGAGGCACTAAAAAGTATCGTAGAGTACTCACACTCTGACGTCACACATCACTGATCATACAAGCCTCCACGACAACTTTTCAAAACGTAATAAAAACACAAGCAAAAAGTCCCTGTGCTGTAAATGAAGTTATTTATCCAGTGAGAGAGAGAGAGAGAGAGAGAGAGAGAGAGAGAGAGAGAGAGAGAGAGAGAGAGAGAGAGAGAGAGAGGGAGAGAGAGAGAGAGAGAGAGAGGGAAGAGAGAGAGAGAGAGAGAGAGAGAGAGAGGAGAGAGAGAGAGGAGAGAGAGAGAGGGAGAGAGAGAGAGGACAGAGAGAGAGAGAGAGAGAGGAGAGAGAGAGAAGAGAGAGAGAGAGGAGAGAGAGAGAGAGAGAGAGAGAGAGAGGAGAGAGAGAGAGGAGAGAGAGAGAGGAGAGAGAGAGAGAGAAAGAGAGAGAGAGGGAGAGAGAGAGAGAGAGAGAGAGAGAGACAGAGGAGAGAGAGAGAGGAGAGAGAGAGAGAGAGAGAGAGAGAGACAGAGGGAGAGAGAGAGAGAGAGAGAGAGAGAGAGAGAGAGAGAGAGAGAGAGAGAGATATGATGGAGGCCGGTTTACAAACAGCTGATGTTTCATGTAGCACATTAAAATCCCTTAAGTTTAATGTTTCTATTTAACACTTCATTGTTTTCTCATTCCCTCCATCCAGCCGTTCTGTGTCTCATTAAAACAGTAAAACCACATCTAAACATTACATTGACGCCCCGCAGAGGAGGGGGGGGTGTTTGGGTAGCTGAGGTCAGCACACAGAGGGGTCCTCTACAGAGGCAGGGGCAGTAAAACAGTGAGCCCCCTCCCCAGACTCTTACCTTACTTTAGATCAATTAGACAAAGAGGTGGAGCTGAGGCGGGGCTTAGGAAAATTCACAAATAAAAAAGTATACCTATGGAAAAAGTGGTGGAGACACAACAGGAGACCAGATTGTAAACATCGAACATGTTTTATGTTTTGAAATGTGTGTGGCCTCTGCCATCAGTGTGTGAATGTGGTAGGTGTTACATGTGGTGTAAAAGCGTAGTCAGAAAACAAGAAGAAAAGCGCTATACAAGCTCAAGACCATTTACATATTGAAATTGCTGAAAAAACGTTGGTTTTCCTCTCAGTAGTAAAGTTCCTCGTTTAAATTTTCTTTTAATTATGCTAAGTTGGGTTGTGGTAAGTTTTGCGGACACAGAAGCTGTGAGAAAACCTGCACGTAGGCCATCTTTGGCTTTTTCCTCCTGTTCCCTCCAAACAAACATACGGTCTTAATCATGCAGCATGCAGCAGAGAGGAAGCAGACAGTCTAAACAAGCAGCCTGCTAATTGAAGTCTTCTGAGTGTCAGCTAAAATAAATACAGAGGCAGGCGCTCCCTCCCTCCTCTAAAACAACAGTCCACACACACACACAGCTGTGTGAAGGCTCCTCACACACACCTCCAGCAGTCTGCACTCTTCTTAAACTAAACAGATTTATTACGATGCATGCTTTACCTCCCTGGCCCAATTTATGTTTACCTCAAATGTAACTGTGTGCTGTGTTGGTTAGAGGTTTAGATCTCAGGGGACATCACGTTCAAATAAAGATGAAATTGAAAAAAGGATAGATCCATTTCTGCTGCAGAATAAAACAGTTTTGAAGTCTGTAGCTCATCTCTTTATTGGTAAAAACTGATCACAGGATTAATGATTTTAGAACCCATCTGTTGTAATTATATTAATGTTTAGAGTGATGCGTAATTAGGCATTCAAAGGGGCGTGGTGTATTTGATTGACAGGTGTTGGAGCTGTTTGTAAGGCTTCACTTGAGCTTTCTTTGTGATGTCTTCATCCTCATGTTTAGAATCTGCTAGTGTTGTGAGAATATGTATCTTGGTCAACATTAGCATTTGCATGTTCTTATGAATGTTGTTTACATTTGTCCATAGCTAGCTACTAACATTACCTAATGGGAAGGTGGGTAAAAAATAGAATTATAAACATAATCATTTAAAATCTGTCATCTTATTAGGTACAAATTGTGTAATGTAACATTTGCCTTTGATGAGATCTGCAGAGGTCTAATACGTCGGCAGAACCTGACGTCAGGCTCTGGCCAAGTCTCGCAAAGGTCCTGCAAAGTCTCGTTCAGAGCAGCAGGAAACCACGTCCTGAGATTACTCTAACAACTTTGTATCTTGTGTTTAAACAAACTTTGCAGAGGTTGCATACGTTTTTTTGAGTTGAGTGTCTCCAAGCCTCTCTGGTAAAAAAAAAGCAGTGGTTCAGTGGATCCTGCTGCAGACCTACATCAGTCAGATAAGGTAATGACTGACTTCCTAAAGAAATCATCACAATGTTGCTGCAACCTGAAGACAACACAAAGAAATCCTCCTCAACACTAGACAGATGACCAGCTAGATGTTTGTGCTTCTCTATCAGCCTGAAGTTAGGTAGAGTCTGCATTTCCAATATGGCCACCGCCATCATTTGGCTTCATAACGCTAATTTAGAAACCAATGGGTGATGTCACTGAGACTATGTCCATGTTTAATACAGGCTGGAAGCTGTGGACAGAAACACTTCAATTGATCCCTACAATGGATTCTACAACTCATACATCAAACAAAGCAGTTTGGATTGTGGTCTGTATTTATAGAAATGTCTCTTGTCTCCTCTTTTATAAAAAGGAATATAACACAGACATTTAAAAGCACATAGGCTACATTTGTGGAAACAGAGAGATTGAAAATATATGAGGTCTTGGCCAAGGGCCTCAGAAAAATTATCCATATTTTCTTCTAGATTTCCTTATAACCTGAAGGTCTGATCTATTTACATCCAAAAAACCCGAGACTAACTAAATACCCGGAACTACAGACTCCAATTAAATAAGTTAGAGATAATTAAAAATGCTTGTTTGTCACAATTTTGTATTTTGTGAAGCTTGGCAATGATTATAAACTGTATTCTCTTTAAATGAGCGTTCATGAGATTTTGGGGCAATGATCAAATAATTTATGATTTGAAAACACCAGTCTTATCTATTTTGTCACTCCTAAAAAAGTTAGCCCAATGTTCAGAGGCTAGATACCTTGAAAGTGGATGCCCCATGTTTCCAATCCGACCTATGGCTCCTTTCCTGTCTGTGCAGCCCTATGTGATTCCATAAGAATATTTTCAATCAACCCTCCCGTTCTCCTTTGGTTCTATGTGTGCAAGTCCTTTTTTCCCACACCAAGGTATTGTTGTTACGATATATAGAGATATTGTGTTGATTAATTTCAGTGTCTTTGCTGCTTTAGAAACTTTTATTATAAACAAAGTGCTCCTAATAATTTCTTATGTTACGTTCTGAATATCTGGCAGGCAGTTTTCTACATGTCTGTTATTTGTATCTATGTGTGGACTGCTCCCCCTGCTGAGGTCAACAAACAGAGCCACACTACAAAATAAAAGGAATGAAAATGCTGCACATACAGCAACAGCGTGGGGTCAGTACCTTAGCATCATACACGATGCCCGGTCGGATCTCAGGAGCTTGATAACCTGGCGTGCCCTCGACCCCCAACGCCCCCTCATGGAAGGACTGCCGAGAGATGCCGTAGTCCGACAGTTTAATGTTGATCGGATCCTGCAGCTGGAAGAAGACCAACAAAAGACCTTGTGTTGAAGTGACACAAGATGACTGAAAATAAATCAGCATCATATGAACAAAAACTGATTTTTATGAGTATTTGAATGCCTTTCTCTTTATAATGTTGAACTGTAAAGGTAAAACAAAAAATCTCTGGACTACATTGATTCAACACAGAAATAGTTTGATGTAATTTCTCATGAAAATATTGGTCTATTGTCAGTGGACCAGAATCCAAAGTGGACGCCTTACTGAAAGTATTTTCAAGCAAACACAAAACTCCTTTAAATTTCACTCAATCTGTAAAACAGCTACATGGTACTTCTTATACAGACCTCCAGAGACCACACCAGGATGTTGTCAGATTTGAGGTCACAGAAGATGACTCGCTTCCTGTGAAGATACGCCAGTCCTGCTGCGATCTGATAGGCTACTCTAAAGGTGAGCATGTGACCCAGAGGCATGTACCTGGAGGCTGCAGAGACAGACACATTTTTAATGTTCCAGTGACACACAGGCCCGTTAATCACTCCAAACTCTTCAAACACAGCAGATTAGACAGCAGCCATCCACTTTAACGTATGAACTTCTCCTCTTGTCTGGAGAAGAACTGTCTCCTACACACCTTACTCATGCTCCATGTTTGGTAGATTGACCTCAAAGCCCAGCTCTACAGCTGAACCCTGATTCTCTGTTATTTGACGAGTTTGGAATGAGAGAGATTTGGAATAAAAATAAAAAAAGAACTGCAGGTGGTATAGGACACCGTGAAGATACCTCTGCTTTTGTTCTTCTCCTCCAGGACAGTGTTGAGGCTGCCCAGAGGGGCTAACTGCAGGGCGAAGCACAGTGGGTGGATGCTGATGCCCACCATGGACACGATGCACGGATGCTGCAGAGAGTGCAACATGCTCGTCTCCTGGCGGAACTCTGAGAAGCTCCGACAGGCGTTTGCAGACTGCAGGTGTTTGAGCATCGTGTCTGAGGAGAGGAGAAGCAAACGGAGCATTTTCACTGCCTTCAGAAACAAACACTTATCACAATAATAATAATAATGTATACATCAAATACATCCATAACATTCTGTTTCACCCAGTAAGTGACCTCAGTGTGTGTTAAGGTTATCAAACATGTTTAATACTTTGATACTTTTCAATACCATGTATTTAAAAATGATACGATCTCTTTTATTTTAACAACACGCTGATTCTTTTGAACAATTTTGTGAATCTTGGAAAATAAAACAACCCAAATTGAAAAGTTGTGGCTCATTGATTGCTTGGAGCGTGTCGAGCACACACACACTATTATTTTTAAGTCACTTGTAAACATCGGGATGAAACTTGCTTCAACACAGCACCTCTATTAACCTGCAAAAAAAAAAGAGGACACAGACAAAAAAAAAGTCTCCTTTGCCACCCGGATGATAACTTCTGCTTTTGTTGTCTTCACAATCCCAACTTGTTGCCTTGAGAATTACCCGAAGCAACAAAGAATTAATTAAAACTCCACTTTTGTACGACTCAGGAATCATCTAAACATTGACCAATAGCTTAAGAGAGTGATTCAAAGTTGATCTTTTGTCTGGGTAGAGATAGTGTCAGGAAGTTTGTAATTCATTGTTGAGAAACTGCTGGATTGTGTTTCTTTTATGTTTTTTTTTTGTTTGTCCCGTACTTTGAAACTGCAAGCTGCCTTTATTATTTAAAAATGAAAAGTGAATCTGTGTTCATCCTGCATGTTTCTGTGTGATTAAAGTGACAGTTACATAGTTTTAACACCACAGCTTTGACTCCTCGTTTTCCCCTACAATAACATCGTTCAGCATCTTTTTTTATTTCTCCTTGCTGCACCTACAAACAGATACATCCTCTACATGCCTGTGACAGCTTTGTCTATGCAATCTAGTAAAGAAAATCAGAGTCAATCCTTACACACTCCCTCTGTTCACCTTAGTGGTTGTACGTCATGAGTTTGTGAGTACAGCAGGTTAACACAGAGTTGCATACTTGTCCCATAGAAGTGATATTAATGGCTGCATTGCTGTCAAGTACTTTGCTAATTGTCATGCTAATTAATTCTAAATGTTTGAGTTATTTCCTCATTGCTGTTGAATTTTCTTTTTCAATAAACTGCTTGGATGGATGGGATAATGATCTCTACAGTGTTAGGAAGCTGTCCTCCACAGCCTCTATGACAGATCTTTTAGAACCATATCTATGTGTTGTTATTATAAACTAAGAAATCTCTCATTTTAACAAACCCTCTCAAGCTGAAACTCGGTCAGCAGTATGTCCTTTCTTTTCTTCTTCTGTTTCACCTTGATGGCGTGTTTAACGATAAATGAAATGAATATAGATGATCCTGTGTGAGTACCTGTGTCGCTGGTGATGCTCCGCTGTTGACACTTCTTGAAGTGGAAGCGTTTGATGGCCACTGGCTGATCCTGATATCGAGCTCTGTAGATGACCGTCCCACTGCCGCCCTGACCCAGGATGTTGTTCTCCTCCTCACAGTACTCCAGATCTGCCCTCTCTAAGAAGAGCCTGACACACACACACACACACACACACACACACACACACACACACACACACACACACACACACACACACACACACACACACACACACACACACACACACACACACACACACACACACACACACACACACACACACACACACACACACACACACACACACACACACACACACACACACACACACACACACACACACACACACACACACACAGAAATATTGTTCAGCTAATAAAGATTCTCATCAGACAATCTGATAACTCCTGTAGTAATAATACATTTTTATTTGACTCGCCCTAAAAGAAGTTGAATGGTCAAATATTTGTTATAAATGTAACAGGGTGTTGGTTATTGTAACTGTGTATATCAGTGTTTTTAATTAAAAATATAGTTTTATATATCGACAGAGATCCTTGTGGAAAGATTGACCTCCTTCCACCTTTTCACCTGTCCTGATTGGATGTAGGGGACGTACCGTGAGGGGAAGTCAGTCATGAAGAGTTCAGGGACCAGCTCCTGCAGAGGGACCGGCTGCTCAGGGTGCTGTGGACAGACGATGTGCTCCTCCTCCACTGCAGCCAGCACACAGTCCTCCATGTTAAAGTAATGAATCCCTCCTCCTCCTCCTCCTCCTCCTCCTCCTCTGTCGTCTACTTCAGGGCCTCCTCCCTCTCCGGACAGATGCTCGCCCTGTGTCTGCTCACCCAGAGAGGCACAGAGAGGACAGGCTGCATACTGCTCTATGAGGAGACTCCCGTCACTCTCGCTGGCTGTCAGAGCTGAAGCAAAAAGAGACAGCAGATATTAATATGAATAGTTAAAGGAAAAAAACAGGCATTTACAGTATGATTTCATTGGTTAACACAAAACCTGGATTTCTATTGGTTGAGGGGGGATTTCAAAGACTTGCTTCACAAAAATCAGGAAGCAGAGCAGAAACCTGACAGAGGACATTTCTCTAGGGACGGGGAGTGTATATTTTGATCTGAATTGATATCACTATCAAGACTCACTACTGATGCAATTTGATTTTAATTTTTTTTATGAGGTGATGCAAAACAATACAAGACGAGTGAGGGACATGACAAGAGCAATAGTATGTAAGAGACAGGGGAGACACGATGTGCTGAGAAAACAATCAAATTATTCTTACAAACAAATGAATTTAACTTCATTTCTCGCCGAAATGTAAATATTATTTTTCTTGATGTAACATTTGAACACATCATGATGATGTTTTATCTTCTTGCCCAGAAACAAACAACACTCTTTGTTTTTCATTGACTTTAAAATGTCGCAGCAGAGATAATGATAAAGGTCACTGACCGGGGAACCACTGCTCCATCAAGGAGTTGACGTGGTCTGTGATAAACGCCATGGCGGAGAAGTCTCTGGTCTCTGATTGGCAGACGATCTTTATGCCTCCACTCTTTTTCCTCTTCCAGTTGACATCCGACGAGTCCACGCTGCAGGAGCACAAACGCAGACACGATCACTGCAAGTTTCATCATAGACATTTTCTTATCCTTTTGAGTAACACTGTTTTCTCTTTTTGAACATTTCCCTGTAGTTGTAAGTGTTAAGAACTCCTGATTTCCTATTTTAATCATTTTTGTCATGTAGTTCCTGATCACAGCTGTTTAGCCCCAGCTCTGACCTGAGGTAACCTCCATCAAAAGTGACCAGCAGCCCCTCCTTCCAGTAGATGGTCTTGCTGCGTCGGACTCTGAAGGTGCTGCAGCGGTTCCTCTGCTGGTTTCCTGCAAAACTGTGGCTCACAGAGCTCCTGCTGCGCCTGCACCTGGCGTTCCTTTTTGGCTCGAATGACTGAAAAAAAATAAAAACCCAGCATTACAGGTCATGACGATATAGACTAACAGTGGAAGAGGTGAATGATGACAGTCTGCTAGTCTCAATACCTGCAGGTCCATTTCTGTGAGGCTGATGAGCATCCTGGCGATAAAGCGCTCCCAGAACCCGGCAGGAACGAAGCTCATCCTGACGAGGCGCTGCAGGGTGTTGTTGGTCTGCTGGCGGAAGCTGTGGATGTCCATGGCTGGCTTTGGGGGGAGGAGGTGGGGCAGCAGGTAGCTACAGCAAGAGAAGGAGAAGATATTCAAAACTGATAAACTTTAGAGGCGACTGAGTACATGTGTGGATATGAAGTATCATGAAGCTGATTATGAGTTTTCTCTGTTAACTCTTTTTCTGCTTCAGGCTCTGAGCATGCTCACATTTAAGGGGATGTTTACAGCATCCTTTGACACTTATTTTGCACAAAAATGAACAATCACCAGCTGACTGCTTCTGTCAGACTTAGACAATTAGAAAAAAAAAGGAATAAATGAAAGTTAAAACTTTAAAAAACTTCACTGGTGCTGCACAAAAGTAGAGGAACCCTGCAGAAAAGTATTGTGTAAATAGATGAACTTCAACGCTTGTTGTTTATATCTAATGTGACAGCTACACAGTACACGTCTTACACTTTGAAAATCATTTCAGCAGTATAACCAGAATCAGTAATAATGTCTGAGGCCATGACAAATATGAAGAAATAACTTAAGTATTCAGCCAAGTTGAAGTCAAATGATTTTAGTCTGTTGATTTGGTTTAAAACATGATGATACCTGAAGTTGTTTTCATTGTAAATCCAACGTGTTAAAAAGACTTTAGGATATTACACCTCAGCTCAACCCGACTTTACAAGGAAAATGTACAAGGTGGCTGAAAGGAAAACATTCTGGGTAAAGTCGGTTGAAAAATTCAGCTGTTTCTGTTCACACATGCAGCTCACCCAGAACATTTCAGGAAGCTGTCAGTTTTGATGAAATACCTTGTTTGGGGAAATTACTGTGGCAGTAGCTATTTAACTTTAATTCTAGGATTATATACAGAACTGTATTAACAGAGTACCAATGAGTATAAAAATGACTTACCTGTTGCTGGCCACGGGCAGAGCAATCTCAAACTTGGCCAGAAACTGGAAATACTGTTCCTCCGTCTTCTGAGTGAAGCCTGTTCCTACTAACAGCATCTGCATCAGACAGAGACATCATTTTTAATGACATCAAAATGCAAGTCTAAAATTTTACCCAAGATGCTGTCCCTGCAAAAATAGAGACTTTCAGAGTGCCGAAAACATTGATATCCTATATCTGTGTAGCGAGTGAGGTTTGACAAAATTCTCATCCTGCTTTCTTTAACCAGTCAAATATAACACTTATATCAAAGTGCGACTTGAATACTTTTGGACCAGTAACAAATATTTTGTGTATCACCTTTAACATTTAAGAGTTTTCGGCGAAGTGTTTTCCCAGGATGTGTTTTATTCTCTTCCTGATAATCAAAGTATCCACATGTCTAATTAAAGGATCAAGTGTGTGCTTTTTTTTTAAAGCCTGTCATTGTATATTCTGTTTTCGATGCACATTCATTAACACTTTAGCTGTGTGTGTTGTCGCCTGCAGGCTCGAGCTCCAAACTCTGCCGTGCTGGTGGTAGGGACGCATTTAGATCTCATCGACACCAAGTTTCGCACTGAGAGGCTGGCCACTCTAAGGGCTTATATAGTGGCTCTGTGATCAATATAATACTCATATTTGCTGTGCAAAAGTTTAAAAAAGAAGGCAGGTTTGGCAGGTTGCAGCTTTAAATTACTAAATAGAAATGATAAATCTTGTTGCTGACAGTATCGCATCAAATAATATAAACTAAACTTCTTTGAAAAATGAAATCAGCAAAATAAGATCTTACGGTACTTAGAGTTAGTACAGTTAGTTAGAACAGTTACTTAGAACAGTTAGTACTTAGACTAGTTTGAGAATTTCTTTTACATGTTTTTTTACTTTACAAGAAGGAGGAGGGGTTTATAGCAGATCCTGCAGCCAGTCAGCAGGGGGAGCGCTTAATCTTTTGGCTTCACTTCTAGGTGGAGTTTTTTCCGACCATCTTAATATACAGTCTATGGTCAGAATGCAGTATTCACTGGGAGACTATTGAGCCCAGTTTGGCTCCAAGCTCGCCTGTCTCTGTTGGGCTTCCCTTGCTCATTTGTCTGCTATCTTACATGCTATATCTTTATGCAGTAAGAACATATAATTACAGATAAGACTGTGAGCTAATACAGCATATTGTTAGATGTTTCCTGGTATATTTCCCTTCTCAAACATGTTGAACCTCCTTCCCCTCTTAAAGATTAATGGTGAAAAGTGATTGTTCTGGTTCAGGTGATCTATTGTCAAACCTAGTTATTGATAGACAGAAAATTGGAGCCTCTGATTGACCAGACTGAAAAAACGATTGACAGTTACCCCAGCCACTCAAAGTCTTCAGTCTGCAGACACACAGTGCTCGTTTGAGCTGTAGCTTCCTAATGCTCACCCTGAGGTCTTCAGTTCGGATCACTCCGTTCCTTGCGATACATCGAGACGACTTGAGGTGCAGGATCCTCTCCAGGCACTCCGACAGCCAAACAGGACACAGGAAGTAGAGGGTGCACAGACCATGGCTAGTGTCAGGGAAATGCAGCAGGGTCCCTGTTTCTATTAGGAAGCTGATGGCTGGATGTGGTCACAAAAAGAGAGGAACCGTTAGCATGCAGTCAGTTCTTAAGATATGATCAGAGTGTTATCAGTGATTTAAAGATTCCATGATAGGTTACAGGTCAACTGAGCTAATTATGATAATAATAATAATAATAATAATTATTATTATTATAATAATAATATAATTATTATGATTATAATAATAACAATAATAACAACAATAATAATTATAATAATAATAATACTATAATTATAATTACTATAATAATACTATAATTATTATTATTATAATTATTATGTTTATAATAAAAATTATATTATAATTATAATAATCATTATTATAATTATGATTATTATAATTATAATAATTATAATTATAAAAATATAATAATAATTATTATTCTCTTCAGAGAGAAGTCCGAACAATTTAAGGGCGGCCCAGGGAAAAGAGAAAAGAATGGATAGTAACGGAAGAGAAGAGGTAAAAAGATGCAGACTATGAATCTACAAAACTGAAGATGGCACATAAAGTAAACATGTAACAGAACGAGGACTGAGTTTGTCAGGAGGCTTAAGACCTACCTCTACTCAACCTCTTTGTCTGTTTCTAGATTGATGTAAAGTTAGAGTAAAGGTTAAGTAGAGTCTGTCATCGTTTGGCTTCATAACTTCAGAAACAAATGGGTGACGTCCAGGTTTTATATAGTCTACGATAACCTCAGTGTTGAGTCATGCAGGCCTCTCTAACTAATCTGCTGCTACCACATTGATAATGTGTTAAAATAAATGCCTGTGTCACTTTAAATGTTGCAGCTGAAAGAATTTCTGGGAAGTTATTCTCTCTATTTATGTTGTAAATGATCAATGAATATTTCCTCTGCGTACAGAGATAAGATATAAAGCACTGAAGGTCATCTCCTCAGCACTTAACTAGCTTAAATCATTTCATCCAATAACACACTTCCAACAAATCATTTTCACAAGTGTCTGCTGAACAAGTACCAGTTTGCAGGTCCTCGTAGTCTCTGATGTCACTTCCTGGGTTCTGTTCGATGATGCAGTCTAGCTGGACGTCAGTTAGGTACTGGACCTCTCCCTCAGCGTCTCTCCTCTTCTTCTCTGAAATCACGGCCTCCTGCAGGGTCAAGTAGCTCCGAGGGATCTGGGGGAGGGTAAAAATGAGTCTGTCTGGGACGCAGATGACCTAGTGGTTAGCTTGGCCCCATATACAGAGGTTATAGTCCTCCAAGGAGACCCTGCTTCACAGATTTCCTACAATCCACAGTCCTATCCAAATAAAGGCATGAAAGCGCAACATAAAAAAAATTGAGGAATCAGTCCGTGCTTATTAGCATAAGGAACCAGTTAAGATGAACTGATCAAGTCCCAGGAACTCCTGTAAAGGTTACTTGTTAAACGTGAGACAAAGATGTGTTAACTCGTGTTTTATTGACCTAAGAAAAGGATAATTACTCTGAGATCTGTTGAATCTTTCACGATAACAACAGTTTATACAGCAGGGTTCTCAAATCTTTTCTGTCACTTGGAGAGGAGCATTTTCTTTCTTACCCACCTGAACAGAGTAATGACTAAAGAGCCTTTTTAAATGAATGAAATAAACTTGTGTAAATAAATATAATAATAAATAAATGTGTGCATATCATTAACAAACCACGCACATAATGGAATCGTGCTCACAGATTGCGTATTCCTCTGCACAGATTTGCAGACAGTTTACTACCCCCACTCACCAGTCTGCCCCAAAGTTACCACCCCACTGCCCCAAAGTTTACCACCCCACTCACCAGTCTGCCCCACAGTTTACCACCCCACTCACCAGTCTGCCCCACAGTTTACCACCCCACTCACCAGTCTGCCCCAAAGTTTACCACCCCACTCACCAGTCTGCCCCAAAGTTTACCACCCCACTCACCAGTCTGCCCCAAAGTTTACCACCCCACTCACCAGTCTGCCCCAAAGTTTACCACCCCACTCACCAGTCTGCCCCACAGTTTACCACCCCACTCACCAGTCTGCCCCACAGTTTACCACCCCACTCACCAGTCTGCCCCACAGTTTACCACCCACTCACCAGTCTCCCCACAGTTTACCACCCCACTCACCAGTCTGCCCAAAGTTTACCACCCCACTCACCAGTCTGTCCCAAGTTTACCACCCCACTCACCAGTCTGTCCCAAAGTTTACCACCCCACTCACCAGTCTGTCCCAAAGTTTACCACCCCACTCACCAGTCTGCCCCACTCACCAGTCTGCCCCAAAGTTTACCACCCCACTCACCAGTCTGCCCCAAAGTTTACCACCCCACTCACCAGTCTGCCCCACTCACCAGTCTGCCCCACAGTTTACCACCCCACTCACCAGTCTGCCCCAAAGTTTACCACCCCACTCACCAGTCTGCCCCACTCACCAGTCTGCCCCACAGTTTACCCCCACTCACCAGTCTGCCCCACAGTTTACCAGTCTGCCCCACTCACCAGTCTGCCCCACAGTTTACCACCCCACTCACCAGTCTGCCCCACAGTTTACCACCCCACTCACCAGTCTGTTTACACCCCACTCACCAGTCTGCCCCACAGTTTACCACCCCACTCACCAGTCTGCCCCCCACAGTTTCACCCCACAGTTTACCACCCCACTCACCAGTCTGCCCCACAGTTTACTGCCTCCAGCTGAGTTGCCGATGTCCTTCATGGAGAGCGCCACATGGTGGATGAGCTTCTTTAGAGCGTTTAAGCCCTCCAGGGTCTTACAGGAGACTTCACTGAACACAGACACACACACACACACACGAACACTTTGTGAAGACTCTCAGATATTCTGTCACATATTCTTGTGATGCTGGCACAGTTTGTATGAAGCATACTAACAGTCTGCAGCATCTTAAGTAAACAGTAATATGTCACAGTGTTCTTACTGCAGGTGTTTCCAGGTGATATCAGGGAAACCTGAGGCCCGGGACCCTGATGGGGACCGACACAGAGCCAGTATATAAGCCCTTAGAGTGGCCAGCCTCTCAGTGCGAAACTTGGTGTCGATGAGATCTAAATGCGTCCCTACACCAGCACGGCAGAGTTTGGAGCTCGAGCCTGCAGGCGACAACACACAACTAAAGTCTTAATGAATGTGCATCGAAAACAGAATATACAATGACAGGCTTTAAAAAAAAAGCACACACTTGATCCTTTAATTGGACATGTGGATACTTTGATTATCAGTAAGAGAATAAACACATCCTGGGAAAACACTTCGCCGAAACTCTTAATGTTAAAGGTGATACACAAAATATTTGTTACTGGTCCAAAAGTATTCAAGTCGCAATTTGATATAACTTCAATCAACCATGACAAAGGATGTAAAGGCTGAAAAACAATATTTCAAGAGAATTGCTCCTGCATTGCTAAGAGTTAAAATCTCTGTTTTTATCAGTGGAGCTTGGTGTGTTTGTAGAGAGTGATGTAACAGATGTTTGTGGTTAAAAAGTCATCTTCCTCTCTAACAAAAAGGCCTATTTCTGACACTTACAGCGTGTCCTAACAGCATGCACTTAGATATTGCTTTATTGCATTGCGTAGCATCGGACACTCAGTGTCCACACTGCATATTTTAAATATTCAATTCTCTGCTCTGTGAATTTGAGTTACCTCTTGTAAACACTAAGACATCTAGTGCTTTCATTTTTGGAGAAACTGATGTGTTGTAGTTTGTATTGACGAGCCTTTGACGGGGTGAGCTCTTTGACAGTCACAGATATACGTGTACATACTGTATATCTTAACTGGCTTATATCAACTTTGCCAAACGAGCCAACAAGCTCTGTCATGTGAGAAAGGTGAAAGAAAATCTAGAACGTTTTCCTGTCAGTCACTCCCAGCGCCTTGTCGAGCTCCCTCGTTCCTCGCTCATCGTCCATGTCTATGTGAGCAACAGAATGACAGAAACAGGGCGGGAACTCCAGTAGGGAAAAAAGGTAATCAAGTTGACTTTGTTGCTGAAGCTTGCTCGCGTCCATGCTGTTAGAATAACAATCTGAGCCTGTCAGAAAACAAACACTTTGATTGATTAAGGAATATGTTGCAGACATTACTGACTGTTTGAGTGCAGCATGCTGAAGCAATCTAGTCAAGCAATAAAACATGTCACCCTTTAATGTAGTTCACTAACCACAAACATCAGACAGTGAAACAAAAAAGATTGTTTGTAATGAGGCTTCAATGACAGATTTAAGGCGACTGATTCAAGTTGTTCCAACATGCCTCTACTCAATGACATCTAATTATCTGTTTTTGATTCATGTGGGCTGAGACTAATTATTTCCCCTTTAAATCAGGACAATCCTTCCTTCAACTGGAAACACAAAAACCAGCACTTTCTGCAGAATCAGCCCCTCCCTGCTGCAGTCACACACACCACCAGCTTCTCAAGGGGTCAGCAGAAGTGTGTGTGTGTTAAAACTTCACCTCGATGTTGAGCAGCCATGTCTGCAGGTTGGCCACAGCCTCCTCTCCCAGAGCCAGGTTCCAGACCACCAGGTAGAGGGCCTTATCAGTGAAGAAACACTGGTTCACTGTGGACATGCTGGCCTGACCACCAATGTCCCACACGTTAAACGCCACTGAGTCCTTCTGTGAGGAACAAAAACCAGAGCTGAGTCTTCTCTGAAGGAGGGCAGGGGAAAAAGAACATGAGGAAAAACGAGATGACACACAACATTAAAATGTCCTTAGTAGTCAGAATCAGAAATACTTTATTAATCCCAGAGGAAAATCTGATTTTTACAGCTGCTCCAAAATATACAATATAGCAGTAGAAATATAGTAATAAAAAAAAATCATTCTGCACAAAAAGTAATTACATTATGATTTAACAACATGCTCAAAACTCATGAACCTTTGCACTTTCATCAAAAGTTAAGATTTATTTTTTCTTTATTTTTAGAAAAATGCTCTGAACTGCTCCTCCCAAGATTTGAAACATAGTAGCCCCCCCACAGCACACTTTAACTAGTTGTACAAAATTGACAAGCTTATACAGTAAACTATGTGAAGGCCACTAAAGAAGCAAATAAAAAAAACAGGTGAAGGCTGAAGCTTTAGCTGATTATACTTTCACTTTTTTACAGAACATACACTCGCCCCACTTTGTAGGGTTTTCATGAATCAGAGTCAGGACAGCAGAAGTGAATGAAAGGGAAAATACGTTTTTCTAAACGAGTCACCATCGTTTGCATTGTTTTGAACAAGAATCTGTACGTAGGATGTTTAAAGTTTTTTTGAAAGTAAACTAGGGTCCTCAAACATCTGCTGGAGGGTCACTGGTTAATTCACCACCAGTTGAAATGTGACATCAGATATCTTCATAGACGTTGTGATAAACTTAGCGTCTATACCTGAGATAAACTATATAAGAGAAAAAAACTCAAGACATGCAAATCTCTGGACACATACATTTTTTTAGTAATTTGTGGTAATCTCCAGGACATGAATACTGAGATTTGTTGGACACTATTTGTGTAACGCTCTGCCTAGCCAGCCAACAGGACGTAACACGCTGCTATACATCTGCTGTGTCCTTCAAAAAGGGCGTCTTTGATGACGATATTCTATAGCAATGGAGGGCATGTTTTTCCGAGTTCATATTTTGACATCCATTTTCCCTTTGTACCAGAGATCTGGCATTCTTCTCCGCTTTTCTCACAACTAACTTCCGCTGGTTTTAATGCAACCACAAAGCACGTGTAACTGCTGTGACGTTATCGTGACGTCAAATCTAAATTGGTCTATAATGACAGTGGGTTTGTCAGTGGGTTTTGTCTGGGGGTTCGTTGGTAAGTGGGGAGGATCTAAGCCAACTCTGGTTTGTGGTGATCAGCCGCCCTTTATTTTCTTTCTGACAGTCGCCCTGGAGCTGCTGACGAGTAGAGGCTAAAATTAACGCCAGGAACTATTAAGTCAGAAATCAAACTGCTCATTAAATAGAACAGTCATTTTTATGCAGGGCAGGACAGTAAAGGCTTTATGTGTGATTTTTTGATCCAGCAGATGTCGCCAAAAAAAACAAAAAACAACTTGCGCTGCATTGTTGTGTTAACACGCTAATGCTAGCGATCTTTATTATGCTGGTATCTTCACACTGCATGTAAATTTACCTGAAATGAGCGTGATCTAGAAACACAGTTAAGCAGTGAGTACAGTATGTTATTCTTCTTTTCTCTAGTCCCTCAATTAAACAACTTTTATACACGAGGGGAGGAGTCAGCCGGCCGTCCAGGCGATGTAAACAAACTGAAGATAGGACTCTGAAAACTCTGAAAACATCACAGACAGTGGGACTCGGGTGTTACACCCATTGTAGACAGTCATGACTCACAGAGTTATTGTCAGAGGATATACTTGATTTCTATTATATTTAAGTCTGAAAAATCACATATAAAGCCTTTAAAAGACCAATATGTAAGATATCTATGGTGTTAAATCATAAAATGACCTTACTATATCATCAGACATCAAGGAAACGTTCTAGAAGGGAGGCGATTTTAAGGCACTCCCACATAGCCGTTTTGGACGCCCCTCTTTTTGCCAGTTACGAGTTGTAACTGCAAACCAGAATATATTGGAGCGACAGTAGCAGGCAAGAGAAGTGGTTCAGATAGAAGTGATTGTAACCGACCTGAAAAGCCAAGGCATGTTTCTAATAAGCTCCACAAGCAGACACATGTTTAAAACTAGGAGAAATATTGGAGATGCTTTTGAAAAATGGAGAGAGGTTAGAATGCAGAAAGGTTTCAAGACAGATGCAGAGCTGGCTAAACACTGAAGCTTCAGTGTCTGTAACATAGCAACCTGTATGCACATTGACTATAGGGAGGAGGGGAGGGGGGACAACACTAACGTTTCAAATTGTAACTGCAGTACCCATTTTAAACACTAGGTTTCAGAGGCACATATTGCTCCTTTGATTTTGAATATAGAACCACAAGTATTGTTTTTCATCTGTGAGAAACGACCCTTATTGTCTGAAATAAAGATGATTTGACACTAAACGTTCAGTACATGTGCTGCCTGTGCGATCCTTACACTGTTTTTGCCTCCGTTGGGCTTGTCCAGGTCCCAGGTGAAAGTGGAGATGCTGCACTCGGCTGCAGGTGTGAAGGGGGAAGTCTTTCCAAACTGCAGAGCCTCCAGCAGGGTGGTCTTCCCCTGTCTGGGGGGGCCGATCACCAGCATCTTCAGCAGTCTGAACGGCTCGGCTTTCCTGAGGTGTGCCCGGAGGAACGCCAAGACAGAGCCAGGACCTGGGGGGGAAGAGGTGTCAGAGTCTGGAGTTCATCATGATGGTAACATTATTGATTATTTAAAAAAAAAAAAAATAAATAGTTTATACATTTTACTTAATTTATCTGACAGAATTCTAAACTTTTTTGGACTTTTTCACCATGGAGAGCTCAAAATCTGAGGTATTCCTTCATAAAGGCTTTCTGATGTCAGTGTTGGTGGAGAAATGTGCCTGTGTTTCTTTACTGATTTATTTTATATAGAAATGTATTGTGGAGTCTTCAGCTGTTCTTTAAGGACCCTGAAGCTGAATGTTAAAAACGTGTGTTGTCAGTCAAGCTTCTTTTGAAGAACCAAAAAAAAAGGCTGTTTGTTGATTAGGAGACATTTAAACTGTGTACCTTCTTTTCTGATATCTTGGGGTACGTTTGATATGTTGAGGTCTTCGATGTCGAGCTGCCACAGGTTGGAGAGCTGACCGAGCTCAGCTGGAAGCTCCCGGATTCCAGGGTTACTGTTCCAAGAGCAGGAGGAAGAACAGTGCTCAGTCAATCACATTAAAGAAGAGATGTTCATATGACTTTGTTTTAAAAATATTTGAAGAGCCTAACAAGCTCCATAAATCCCACTTCATCAAACATCACATTTGTCTCTCACAGCAGGGACGGACAATTATCTGATTCTCTCTGCTGGAGAGCTGAATTATTATCCATTCTATATTTTCAATAAGCCGATTATGATAAGGTATAGTTTAATGAAGGACAAATATAAAGCTTCTATAAAAGTTAATGATTGAAGTTGTATTTTTTGGGGCTTTTTTATGCCTTTATTTAGAGCTAGGACAGTGGATAGAGTCAGAAATCAGGGAGAGAGGAAAGGAGCCACAGATCAGATTTGAACCCGGGCCGCTCGCTTGGAGGACTATAGCCTACGTACATCGAGCACTCGCACTAACCACTGCGCTACCAGTAACCCACATCTATTTCTTTTTTTTTTAACCCTAATACAAATAGTAATGTTTAATTTAATGAATCAACACAGAAACCAATTAAGTGCATTAAATCTGCCAGTTATTTCATGTTTAGTTTTACTTGCATTTCCTTTTCTTTTACAAACAGTCAAAGAAAAAAGATGCTGTAGAAATGCGTCAAAAACAAACTTCAAACTGAAACAGCCAATCATATATATTTTTTAAAACAGCAGAAAACATACAGATTACCAGAAATCAGCACTTCTTTTAATTTTCTCGTATCTGAATGATGCTCTAGTGGTGACTCAGGTTCATATGCTTCTTGGATTATTTTATTGCAGGCCCATTAAACACACTAAGCACATGTCTGTCTTTGATTACTAAAACAAACAGTCCACTATCCTACACTGGACGCACATTTCTCTGCTTGTTACACCCTCGTGGGACATGCAGCACAGCGCTCTGTCTAATAAGGAAATAGCACATTTGCTGATTCAGTGATTTTTTTTTTTAAATACTGAAATAGAAGGTTGGCAGACAGCAGACATATGATTGCCTCATCTCCTGCTGTTTTCATATTGGTCTGGTGTAGGGGAGCAAGACGAGGACCAATACGAAAACTTCTTCAACTCAGTCCTCGATTCTAGGACACCAAGCTCCCCGTCATGCAGACACAGACGAACCCTCAAACAGACACACACACACATACACACTCGACTAAGAGGTAGCGTAAATGGATTCTGTATTTTGCCCACAGATATTAAAATAGACTATCCCATGCCCATAGTGCATGCATCGTTAGAGAATGAAGGTTCCAGCAGAGAAAATAAGTAAATAAATGTGAACGGCCTCCCTTTACTTGATGTTCAGCACACAGAGCATTTATAATCATCAGATCCTGTGATCCTGTCAACATGTCCAGAGATTTTAATAACTGATGAAGTTACACTGCTGTGCACACTTTAGTTTAGTTATAACATGACGTGCAGTCAGATATTTCATACAGTGTGTGTGCTATGTGTGAACAGGAGGACACTGAAAGGAGAGAAGTTAAATATGTTGATCTGAGTATTGAAAGATAACGACAGAGATTTTTCTAGCTACATGAAAAATCTCTGTTAGCGAACCTGGCTCACAAAGTGAGAGCTCACAAAGTTAGGGCTTGCAGCCAGTGGTCCATCAGTTTGGCTACCATTGCTCTCAAGTTATGTTTGGCAGCAGCAGCAGCACACTGTGGATCCATGACTTTGGGTAATCCATTACTCTGGGATGAATGTCAAGAGTGTAAGAAAACAGCTGCAAACAGCTGCAGCAGGACTGATTTCACATAACACGCAGACGTTCCCACACACTGAAGGAGCTCATTGGCTGGCGCAACAAAAGTGGGACTATATTCCCTTTATTTCTTTCCAAAAGTCTTACTCGCTCATCCTTTACAGCTCTTATGGTGATTTATGTTTTAAAGTTTTTATCTTAGGGCCTGCGTCACAAAAGGAATCCTCTCCTCCATGGGTCTTCTTTCAGAATGAGGTGTCGTAGGACTAACTGGAAGAAATGGTGATGTCCTGGCTCTGGCTGCCCATCAGTCTACTGGTCGAGTTGTGGGGGCCAATAGGGGCCATGTGGTAGGGTAGGTACTATCAACTTGTCACTACCTGACAAGCTTGCATCAATGAAGCCTGGGTCTGTTAAAGGTGGCAATGCTGTTGTGGTTGCGGTGGCAACTAAGGGCCACTAGGTTATGTAATTAATCAGTAGGACACAGGGACTGGGAGCACTGGGCACAATGATAAAGATAAACTTTATTGATCCCCGTGGGGGAAATTTGTGAATCTGGATCAGCTGCTCTTACTGGCTTGTTACAGAGAGGAAGCTTTGTTATGAACGATGAAACTTGTGTCACATCTATCATGACTAAGACTGCACAATAAAGAGAAGCACACAGCCAACCCGGCACCACTTAGAGAGGAGATGCTGACGGCTCATCTCCACAATCAGATACAAAACAAGAGCAAACTTCATGGAGCGGAACAACTTAACGGGCAAGTTTGGGTTTGAATATCATTTGAGAAATATGCTGAAGAGGACCTTGAGACACAGTAGATAGCATGCACAATTAATGTGCAATTCATGGAGCTACTGAGCAACCGCAATCCAGTTGTAGTGAATTCTCTCCTCAGGATTAAAAAAAACAACAACATCACGTATTCAGACAACATGTGTGACTATATCATAGACTGTATAAAAAGATAGACAACATCACAGCTCACCAAAAATTGAGATAATAAAATAAGAGCTCCCCCTACTGACTGGCTGCAGTATAGGTCATAAGCTCCGCCTCCTCCATGTTAACAGAAAGGGATATGGGTCAAACTATTTAAAAAAAACATGTTCAACATTTTTTTAAAACACAGATTGTGTCTTGATATTATCTTGAGACATTTCTTTTTAATTATTTATTTGATGCTATAAAAATGTATAAATGCCATGATTGACAGCTCTGTTGATAAATACAGCGCTATGTGCACCAGATTGTCAAAGTAGAGGAGGAACAGGGAGAGGAAACGTAACTAACACTCACACAAGAGTCATTGAACTTTCCAAAACTGTGAGTGTCTGCTTCAAACACAAGACATAAACACATAAACATGCACAGAGACAGACGGACTCACTTGGAGAGGTAGAGCTCGGTGAGGTTGTGCAGACCACACACAGATTGGGGAACACACTCCAGCTGGTTGTCATTCAAGTAAAGGACTTCCAGAGAATCCCGCAAGATCTTGGGGAACTCTATTGGACACACTGTGAGGACAGAGACACACAGCAACAACTAACTCTCCATTTAGAAGTCCCATTACAAGACTCACACAGGATCACTGTTTTGTCGACTCATGATCATATGTAACATGAAGATGTACCTGGGGTCCGGGTCCCTCCTGTTCCATGTCGTCAGGAAGGCCAGCCTCCTGGATTTGGGCCCCTCTTCTGTTCTAAAGACAAAGTTTTAAATACAGAAACAGATCACTCTTCATCTGCAAACTGTGCTGACATGACTTTAACAAAAGCTGAAAAAAAATCAAGTCAATGCACAAGTGTCAAAAACTGCAGTTCCTCTGAGTGTCCACTACATGCTGGTTGCAAAAAAGCCAAAGAGTCCCCATTTGGTCCCATATCAAAATGCCCATTTCTACAGCGGGAAATAAACATATTTTCAGCCCGGTTCAATAAAATGTTTTGGTCTCCATTTCTTTATTGGTTTAAAAAATCTATACAGAGGTGAATTCTTTCATAATTCATCTGTTTTGATTTGATTAAAGGAAGAATATGCGATTTTTCATACTTAAATGTAAAAGTTGTTTAATTGAGGGACTAGAGAAAAGAAGAATAACATACTGTACTCACTGCTTAACTGTGTTTCTCCCTTAAAGGCAAATAGTTTTAATAAGTAGTAATTTTGCATATTAAGGGGCTTGGCTGTGTTGACTGGCAGGTGGGTGTGTTGTAGTTGTTTGTTTCACCTCTTTGATTTAAAGTTGGGCAGATTCAGCATTTCCAAAATGGCAACCACCAGCATTGGGCTTCAAAACTCCTCTTTGGACACCAATGGGTGACGTCACTGAGACTACGTCCATGTTAGAGACCGTCTATGGTTCTTAACTTATGCTGAAGCACATGGGGATCCAAATAAAACATACCTAGACTAAACCGAAGAGTCGTTTTACCTGATCACATTTGATAAGGTATGAAAATAAAATGGCTGATTTCTCAGAAAAATTTCTCATCAAACCGATCTCGTTTTAAGTTTAAAAAAATCATACATTTTATTTAAAGACCACATATAGTGCTTTCACACTGACACAATCACACATTTTGGTGGTGAGCTGCATGTGTGAATGCCCACAGCCAAAATTATCTTGGACGTTCTCTAGCCAGAGTTAATTTTTCAGCATGAAATCGGGGTGAGCTGATGTGAGAACGCAGCAGGAAATATTAATAAAACCTCACAGTGAGCGAGAGAGTATGATGATGATAATAACCTGTGATTGGCACACGACCATCACGAACATTATGTACGTGACTGTTGCATCTGACCGTGTATATAATGAAACTGCTTAGTTATGTTCTTCTCTGCTCTTTTGTTGACATTGTGAATGTGTCCGCATAAAAAAAGTCTCAGTATATAATTTTATGGCGGACTCTGTTGCTCCATCCACCACTTCAGCGTCATTCTTTTTACATCATGTTTTGCTTCCCTCTCATCCAACAGGGACAGTCTCCTGCTGTGAAGTGCATTTGTGAACAACACACTCAGGAAAATCGCACTGTGTCTGACATTTCAAGAAAAACAGATAACTGTGATGTGAATTTAGACTGCTTTAAGCTATTCACACTATGTTATTAAACTTTAGTAGGCATGGCGAGTTTCTTCTTTTACAGTTGACCTTATCTAACACACACACACACACACACACACACACACAGAGTAGTGCGTATGTGTGTCTCTGTGGACCTACTTGCCCAGCTGGTTCCTGGAAAAGTCGAGGGTCCTGAGCTGAGAGCACTTCCACTTAGCCGGGGCCGGGAGTGTTGCAATCTGATTCCCACACAGCCTCAGAGAGACCAGAGCCTAATGGGAGGGAGGAGGGGAGGAGGGGGAGGATGGGTGAGATAAACCACACTCTCACTGTTTACTCTTCAGACAGTTAGTATACTCTCTCACTGAGCAGCGGTAAGGACCTCAAGCTAAAGAGTTATCTGAGGTCAGAGCAGCATTTTTAAAACCTGGGACCTACTTTTACAAACCTGTTTGAATAACAAGCAGTTTAAGATTTATCCTGCCGGACTATAAGACTGTGTCCTCTAAAAGTTCTTCAGATTGTTATTCTAAGTGTTTGACAGCATTACAGAAAGGATCCCTCCAGAGTTAAACCTTTTTGTTAAGATGAAGATGATTTTCAAACAAGTGCTGTGACATCTCTCTCTCTACAAACACACCAGACTACATTGAGAAAAAGAAGAATTATACCTGACAGTCACTGATCCACTGCTGCCTACTACTTCTTCGTTAGTTTTTTTTATTGTGTGTTAAAAAGGCATCAAACATGTTTGTACAGCAAAGTCACAAAGCTACGAAAACGAACCAGTGTTCTGTTAAATGTAAATGTCTTATTCTCATGTCCGAGAACAATCAGAGAAATTAATATGCTGCAATCTTTATAAAACTTTTGATTCATTTTTGCCAACCATGAATCAATCAGTATTTTAGTATCTGCTTTGTTGGTCAGGTATGAATACACAATCAAAGAACGTTAATGAATCTATGCCGATTGAACACAGAAACAGGCACAAACAGATTAAAACAAGATTTACATGTTGCTTAAAAAAAACATAAAATATAACACATAAAACTCACATTAAACCGGCCCACAGGGAAGGGTGGAGAAGGATCTAAAAGTTTCTGCATGACAACAGTGGGTACTGAGCCCAGAGTGTGGCTCAACCCTTTTCTAAAACATGTAAACATGAAATGTAACGAGTTATACATCATGCTGCACCTGCTAAAGACATTCATTATCCCTTAGATCTCTCAAACAAAAAAAATGCTTCGCTACGTTAGTTTAGCTTTAATGGGTTTGTTTGTGTTGTTGTGTTACATTAATGTTGTCCCGGAGCCGACCTTCACTCTTCGAAACATCAAGCTCACACAACTGTCCGACAAACTACTCGTTCAAAGGAGCATGAGAAAAAACGATGGGGTGAAATGACTGCTTTTGTCTCTGCAGTTTGGTGTCTTTAAGGGATGTAAAGTAACAGCTGGTTCTGATTTCAACCTGTCAGTAAAAACAAGAACACTTTCAGTGATTGTTCTTTGATCAAGTACATCTGCCCCGAGGATTATACAGCAGCCATTACAGCCTGTTTCACTGCTGCAGGCCCACGACATCTGCAGGAGAAATTCCAACCTCGTTTTGAACTTGTTAGTCATTTAAACTGCACCTTAAAGTCTACATAAAACTGTTTAAACTGCTGAAAAAAAATAAACTATGTCACACTTTAAAGTGAATTCACAGCATCAAATAATGATCGCCCTTTATTCTAACAACATATTTGACTTTTTATTCAGAAAGCAGAAGAGGCATTTTAAAATGAGATGAATGTTTTCCCCTTGTGGAGAGAAGAATATCTTCTATTAAAGACAAAGAAAATAAATCTTTGAATGCGATAACCTCTGTTTGTCATGTTTCTCTCCTCTCTATGTTCTTTAAAATGTGATTGTCCAGATGCCTTTAGGTATCACAGTAAGACTGTCAGAGACCCAGAGATGAAGCATCAGCGCCATCTGGAGGCTGCCCAACAGATAACACATGACAGCATTACCTCTCTTCCTTCCTTTTCCTTCTGCCTTTGAAAATCTTTATCATGATTTACAAAGTTTTCCCAAGAGAGTGCAGAATTATTGGCTAATACATTTTTTTAAAACACATGAGAAGGCTTACAATTAAGGAGAGACACTTAGACTTTATCGAGGTGGCTCGGCACATGAAGTCTTTGTGTGGGAAACTCTGCATACACTAAAAACAACTAAATTCACTTCACCTGGTGCCCTCCAGGTCACAGATCCAGGGACTGGTTGTTTGTTTCAAATCCAACAGGATTAGAGTTATGGTATAGGATCAAATCAGGTTAATCAAAAGAAAAAATGAGTATGTCAGGGGGTAGGATCAGTTATGACCAGATAAAACCTTCAGCTAGAGTCGTTTCAACTTTTGAGTAGGATTGTGAAACTTTGATCCATAACATCAGGATCATCCTGATCCCAGCAGAGGGAATGATTCAGACTGGATTACAGGGAAACTATGTCAGAAAACTATTACATTGGTCAAACAAACAACTTTTTTACAAGATAGTTGATATGTGGAGACATTTGTATTAATGCATTTATGCGTTGTTTTGCTTGAGTTGATGAGAGACACTCGGTTTGTTAAACAATTAAGGATTTGTTTTCATTAAGTATTTAACCAAATAGCATCAATATCAAACAATAAATGTCTAATTTAAAAGGAGCTCTGAGGATCTTTCAGTTTGTGTGGATGTTGGCGCCCCCTGTGGACAAAGAATGTAGTGTACCCTTTAAAGCTCAGATAATCTGGATTTGATCATCTTTAAAACTCATTATCTGGATCAGGGTGATTCAATCCATTTTTCTTTGGATAAAAGTGAGCTGGGTTACTTGATCCTGGATAGGAGAAAAGTGGAATCCTTATCTGGAACATTTTGAACAACTGACCCTGTGCACGGAGAGCATTCTTACCTCTAGTTCAAATAAGTGCGGCGGCAGCTCGGTCAGGCTGTTGTCAGAGAAGTCCAGCTCCTGCAGCTGAGTCCTCCAGAAGATGGAGAAGGTGTCTGGAAGACTTTTGATCACGTTGTAGGAAGCTTTGCATTGTTTCTGCACAGGACGAGAGAGAGAGAGAGAGATAGAGAGAGTGAGAGGAATATCATCTTTACGTTGAAATGTCTGCTTATTTAATGAAACAGAAATTCAAAAATTCAAAAATGTGCGGCATTGTTTATGATTTTGTTTCCCCTCTTAAGCCCTATTCATTAGTATTACCTGGGGTCCTCTAGTAATTTGTAATAAATGTGGAGGTCGTCTGTGATCTTAATCCCATGCAAATATGCCATGTCAGCAATTTGTAAAGTAAAAATTCCACCGCACATTACCTACCATATTTCGCCAAACACAGAGGTTATGTGATAATATTAATCCCGTGCGAATCAGCATCTTGTGATTTGGGGTAGTTTTTTGTGTTCTCCGCTCCTTTTTTTTGCCTCTTTCCCGGTCGAGAATTATGGAGGCTGTGTTGGCAATTCTAAATGAAGGTTTTGAAGCATTTTGGGTGCAAATTCAGGAGGCTCATCTACAGCATGGAGACCCATTCACAGAAAGAGCAAACTCAAATCCATCAGAAGAGAGAAATCTTAAAAGATGATAAAACAGATTACACGCATGGCAGCATGCGGTAAGGAACATTTTTCTATCTTTCAACAGGCTCAACAGTTATTATGTGGGAACTTTAGGCCTATAACGTCAGCTAGCGATCAGGCACTTTCCAATCAATATTTCTTACGCAGAGCTTTGACATCATATCCGGGGCATAATGTCAGTAAATTTGAGTTAAAACACAGACTTTGCTTATCCCATGCAATTTCTAAATCACAATCAGTCCCCAGGTAGTACTAGTCCCGTGGGAATAGGTCTTTAGTTAATCATTTTGTCGACCGAGCTGAGCTCTGTCAGCATGAGAGTGCAGCTCTGTGCAGAGTAAAGGTACAGATAGCTTCTCTCAACATTCAGACACAAAACAAGAGAAAACTGCACAGATTACTTTTTGGATGAGTTTGTGCCTGAAAATCATCAGAGCTGTATGCTTTGTGAAGTAAAGGTTGAGATGGAGCAGGTAAATGAAGCAAAACTCAGTGACTCAGGCCGTCAGTGTAGCAATCATTAACACCTGTAATAAACCCGACATAGATGGTAACTTACTGTAAGTAAAATATGAAATAACTGTAGTCATGAAATGAGGTCCACACAGAGTAACACCCAGGTTATTAAACATTAAAAAACCCTGTGTTGATTAAAAGTAAATAAAGTGAATTCTGATCTGAAATGGTGTGTTCATTGAGCGTCTCACCAGTGGACAGGCCCAGGCGTCAGGGAAACAGCTCAGTGTGTTCCTGCACACGTTGAGGACGCTCAGTGATTTCATAGAGTGCATGACGGACACGGGCAGACTGCTCAGACAGTTCTCAGACACATCCAGCTCCTCCAGCTTACGCAGGCCGATCCAGTTAGTACCTGAAGATAAGGAAATACATTTATACACAAATAAAGTCGACATCAGATTTTAAGAGGGTCAAATCAACCAACAAAAGTCTCCAAGTTGGTGTGGCTCTAATTCTCTAATCTCTCTAGATACTTTACTAATCATTTAAAGAAAATGATGTCACAGCAGCTACAATCACAGCCAATACACATCAAATAAAAACATGCTCCTATAACAGAAAAAAGACAAGATGAACCTTTATTTATCCCACAATGAGAAACATTTTCTAAGATTCTTTAAATCATTTGGCAGACTCTTTTGCCCAAAGTATCTGAGAGTCAGAACAACATATTGTACGCAAAAATAGAGAGGAGGATACAACATCAATAATGAACAGTGCATAGTCTGATCTGACAGGCAGAGCAGTTTTAAAAAAACACTTATATCGTTGTCGTTGTCAACAATAACAGCTTCATAATCAGGATCCACATCGTCCTAAAAATCATCATCGCATCAAAGTCAGTCCCATCTCTATTATTAAGTGAATATTGTTCATAAAGAACTGGGTCTTTAGCTTTTTCTTAAAGGATATAAGGGACTTTGCAGATCTAATGGACTTTAGCAGTTCATTCCACCACCAGGGGGCGCAACAGAGGAGAAGAGTCTAGTTAGAGACTTAGGACCCTGCTGTGAGGGTTGAATGAGACGCCTTTCTTTTTTCAGAGCGTAGTGAGCAGCAGGGGGAGTGTAGACTTGGATTAAAGATCTTAACGAGGACGAGCCGTTTTTGTTGTGGTTTTATAAGCGAGCAGCCGAGTTTTTTAATCTGTGAGCAGCAGCTTGGAGCCAGCAGAGGAGACGGACAGTGAAGTGAAATGTGCAGTTTTAGATTGGAGGTCCAGTTGTGCTGCTGCGTTTTGCTGACGGTGCAAAAGTAAAACAGTTTAACGAGCAGTGACATAGCTGCAGCTGTTGAACATGTTAAATTCAGAGAAATAAAAACTAGCATGTCAAAAAGTGCACATACATTTGAACGTGTTATTGCACACTGAGGGTTCCTGATATTATTGCTCGTCATCATCAGATGATTTCATACAATGAAGGAAAAAGAAGCAGATTGGGTGCTCCTTGTGGAGGTGGACTCCAAGTGAAGGCCAGGTGCCTTTAAGGATAAGTTAAATTAAGTTAAGGAAGGAAAGCCACCCGGCTATCTTCTGGAGCTCTCGCTTACGGCACATTTTGTTTCCAGGCAACGTATGATGTCATTATAGTGTGTCCTATATCTCCTTTTTTTTGCCGTTGCAGACTCACACACTCACACACTGCAGACCTGACACCTTAAAGTCTGTGAGGGTTCAGTTCTCAGGCTTTAGGGGGGAGATTGAGATGGGGGACACTGAGTGTGCTCTGTTGAATCACATCCAGGGTGTGTAGTGAGAAGTGCAGTAAAAATCATTTGGAAATATGAGAACAGATAAAAGATCTATTCATTAACTCAAATAATGAGTTTGTTTTGCTGTAATAGCATCAATGTATTGATCAACATTGTACTTTGTAGTAACTCAATAGTGCCAGAAGATGGCAGCAACTACTTCTGTTGCTCATGATAAATCTTGTGATACGTCTTATGAAGAAACAGGGCTAATTTGTAAACTTTAACACCACAGGGATTCTAATTCTTAAATAAAGGACATTTAGTTTATTAAAGAGTTAGTTACTTTAACAGGGTGAACAGGAGCAGGTATGCAGAGGTGAGATAGGTCGGCTGTGTTAATCACTGCATTTCATGGAGGGTCCATACGGAGCCCCTGAAGGCCCAAAATGAATAAAGTTAAAATCTTGAGCGCACTAGATATTTTCTTTATACTTTTTGGGACTTTAGGGGCTCCGTAGGTCCATCCCTATCCGTAGAAAAAAAGGAATATTCTTTATCTGTATTATTTTTGGACATTGAAAGAACAAAAGAATACTAAAAAAATGCCTAGAAGAAGCTAACAAACTGGTTAAGTGAGATAATAACTTCTGTGTATATATACGGTATTTTACTTTTTGGGACTTCAGGGGCTCTGTAGATTTTTACCATAATTATATCCAGGTTTAAAACATCTGGTTTCATGAAAACTGAGCACTGAGAACATACCAGTGGGGATGTCAAACAGGACCGCCAGCTGGTTCTTGGCAGCAGAGAGTCTCTGGATGTGGGTCAGGTGGAGAAGTCCAGGCGGTAACGTAGTGAGTTTGTTCTGAGAGAGGTTGACCTGTCGTAGACTAAAACACAGGACAGAGAGAGAGAGGCGGTGAGACGAGCACATATTTAGAACTTAGCAGATCAGTTTTCACCTCAACACCGGTCTATACAGAAGTTTACATTACTAGTAAAGCTATATAAAGAATACCTGTTGATTTTTTTAAGTTTTGGTTCATTTGGATAAGGAGGTATTCGTTCAAAAAGGGTCGAGGTATCTGACATTTTGACAACCTCTGAACATGGTGCAGTGTGTACCTGGAGCAGATGACCTCCTGTGAGCTGTGTGCAGCCGGCAGCTCACTGAGCAGGTTATCAGAGAGGTCCAGAGAGCTGAGGCGGATCAGACCCCAGGGCACCACAGAGGGGAGAGCAGCCAGGCTGTTAGACGACAGATCCAGGACCGTGATCCTGGAGGATATGTCCATGAACCAGACCAGCTTCAACCAGGGCAGCTGCAGACCGCTCCAACACACGCTGACAGCCTAAACAAACACACACACACACACTGCTGTTAATGAACATATTCTCGCATCATTATGAGAAATTATAATGATTGCCTTTATCAGGAAAAATATGGAAACTATGTATTTTATCACATACGTTACCATAAGACAAGCCGTCCATTTAGAAAAACATTTGGCTGTGTTTAAAAGACGAAGGTGTAACATTTTACACATAAATACAGAAGTAAGTATATCCTGTGTAAATATCTATCTGAGTCATGATCGTCTACAATGAGTGAGACTAGTGAGTCCAGCTGGCTGTCTTCTTGTTGTGTTTACATCATGTTTACATGGACGGGACGGCCTCATGTATAAAGCTGTTTTAGTCAAGGAGAGAAAAGAAGGATAACATTCTCACTGCTTATCTAGATGTCACATAAGTTTGTTTAGATCAATCATTCTGTGACAATTTATGTGCAACATGAAGAGTTAACACAAGTGTGCTGTCAAAGCGACTACGTGGCTCGGGTGAAAGTTGGCCCTTAATAAAATTACTGAATTTACTGTGATACTAATTACTGGGTGACTGAAGAACTAAAAGTCCTTGGAAGGACTCTAAACATATCTCCCGGATTAACAAAAAAAAAGAAAAAAGGAAAACCAATTACTGGGTAATGGAAGCTTGCAAGGAAAGAGGCAATAAACTGAATATTCCAGATTATCAAAAGGGTCTCCTGGTTCCAGTAAACCAAACAGACTCCCTTATTAAAATCTGAAATATCAGGAGGTCATATCCAACAGTCTGGGATATGAAGTAAAAATGCAGAGGAATGTCTGAATGGTTCTTCTCTGTGATTTTGAATTGTTTGTTTTAGTGATTTTTAAATGTTCTATTTTAATGTTTCTTTTCTTTCCTCTGTCATGATGCTTTTGATGTTGTGTGAAGCACTTTGAATAGCCTTGTTGTTGAAATGTGCTATAGACATAAACTTGCCTTAACGTTAGCCTGCTAACACAACAATGCAGGCCACAGGTGATGGCAGCTGGAGCAAAGGAACATTTTTGTCTGCGCTTGCATTCAATGTTGCTTAACGATGGTGCGTTCTAATTGATAACTCCTCGGTGCGAGTGGAGAGGGGTTTGAGTTGTGATGCTGGAGGAGAGCGGAGGCTTCAGTATGGAGGAGGTGTCACCAAACAGCAGTTTGTTTTGGTTTGGTGCTGGTACTCAAGGGCGACATCTACTGTATCAAAAAGTCACACATTCTTCCTTTAAGGTGTTTTGAATTTAATTTATTCAGGCTAATTAGATTTTGATAACAAGCATGTAATGTATCTGTGTGATAAACTACAGTTATGACATTTCAGCAGTGAAGCAGCAACCTCATCTTCTGAGGTTAAATCAGGTTTTTTGTCAAAGGAGTTTGGCGTCTTTAAAAGTAACCTCTTCTTGTACCTTCTCATGTCCCAACACAGGTTAAAAACACAATGACTCTTTGTTTGTTTTCCAAAATAACCAAAAGGAAAAAAGCAAAACCTTATTTGACAATATTTGATAATGTTTGTTGAGTGTTTGCATGACTGGATCTGATTTCAACCGTCCTCCCTACCAAGTGCACCCAATTAAAACATGTCCACTAAAGGTTTATTTTATTCACAGACAGGCTCAGATTGTTATTCTAAGTGTCTGCCAACATAACAGAAAAGGAGAGACAGACCTTTTTGTTGAAGAAGAAGATGCTAAATAAGTCAGATTCTGGGCATCAATCTAATCTTGGATCCTTCACTCTTTATTTTAGGTATAGCTCCTGATACCAACATGGACAGAGACTTGATTTCCTTGCTTAATATGTTGCTATTAATAGTAAAGAAAACAATAACAGCGTCCTGGCTGAAACCACAGCCTCCCAACATAACTCAGTGGAGACAGAGATTAAAAAATGTTTTCATCACGGAAAAAAATCACAGCCAGATTACAGCTGTATATTTGTATTTTAAATTTAATTTAATTTATTTATTTATTTAACTTTAAATGCACTTGTCTATTGCATAGCAAATTACCAATATGTTTGCAAAAGTTGTTAGTCAATCAAGGAAAAAGGATTGAAAAACGATGTGAAGGCTGCCATATGTGTGGTTATATGCATGTATGTAAGTTTATGTCTATCTAATGTAAGTATGAAGGAAAGGGTGTGTGTATACATGCATGGATACGGATGTGTAGTTGTTTGGTAAAATGACATGTTAAGATTTCATGAGAAAATGGACAAGTGTAACTGAAAAGCATCTCCTGAAGTTGTATGTTTTATCTGTGTACTCAATAAAAAAATAAGTTAAAAAATAAATAAAAAGGATTGTCAGAATGCTGCTGAGTTCTCTGACTGAATCCATCCTGATCACACATGACACTCTCCTCTGACAGCCTCACATGTACTAAACAAAAAAAACACACACACAAGCACAGCCCTGTTTCTACATTACTGACCAGCTCTCCGTCTGGCTCTGTGGTTTCTTGCAGTTTGAGTTTGAGGAGGTGTTGGCTGAAGGCTGGATGGTCCATCAGGGTGTACGAGGAGAAGCCGGCTCCGTTCTGCAGCAGGAAGTGAGCGATCTCTTCATTTCCTGTGACACACAAAACAAAACATACGTCTCACTGCTCTGTCCCTGCACACTCTCATAGTACCACTGATGAAAAACTTTAGCGCTTAAGGTTTTTTATTCAGGGTCGTCACCATGGCTACCAGAATTTAATACTTCAATATGTTAATCGAAACAATAACAATACTTCTTTGATACCACGGCAAAACAAATAGAAGTCCTTTACACTAAATATTGGGTAATTTCTTGTTTTTAATTATCAAGAACTTCAGGCACCTACACTCTAAACTGCACATAAACATTGGCAATGTGTTTGTACAGAAAAGTTACCAATGATTTTATGCAATTAAGACAGTTAACTGGAATGGTAGAGGCTGCTTTGTAAAGTGGCCATCAGAAATAACTAATCCCATTACATATTCATACGCCGCAGACGAAGCAGCTGGAGCAACTTGGGGTATAAGTGTCTTGCCCAAGGACACATCGGACATGTGGCTGCAGGAGCTGGGGATCGAACCCCCAACCTTACAATGAGAGACGACCGACTCTATCAACTGAGCCACAGGTGTCTCTCCTACGCATTAGTCTCATGAAATAGACATAGTTCTGTACAACAACGATGTCAACGTTCTTGAGTCAATTAAGACAATGTGCAGGAAGGTTGCGTGCAATTTGTTGGGCAATTTGAAGAGTTTGCATAAATGTAGCTACAATATTTATGCTATGTAGACAGTGTGCTGGAGTTTGTCAGCAATGCCAGTGTTGGACGAGTTTGCCTGCAACTGTTTGATGGACTCATTCCTCTCCGTCACACCTGTCTTGTAAAATAAAGCTTTGCTAATTTTGGATTCTATCAATGTGTGTTTGGTTTAAAATAAGTTGAACCGAAAAGTACTGAATCATTGACAAACATGACGACCTTAGTTAGTATGATGTGCTCTAGCCTCACATATGTTCCACATTGATGAATTGTACTGTCCCAAAGTGTAAATTGTATTATTATCTAAAGTGCAGTGTTGTCATCCTGCACCTTCAATGAAAACTCTTGTGAGTGTAACACTGTGGATAACCAGCAGTGTGTGTTTGTGTAGTATTTCACACATCATGTTGTGAAGTTGTGTGTTTGGATCCCCGCTCAGTTGCTGCAGTAACTCCCTTTGTATCAGAATCATTATCCTCAGAGCCAAATGACCTTTGTTCAAGGTAGGATCAAGTGGAATGCACGCTCACTTCAACAGCTTAATACTGTTTTACTGCATCATAGCACAGTAATATTAAACAGCATTTAAACTTAATGAACGTTTTAGTATCATTAACATGCTGTCTTTACTTATTCCGTGGGTAAATGATGAACAGGGCTCTCATTGCAGGGACTTTTCCAGGGACCAGGACCCAGGGAAAAAACACAAACCCCAAATTTTGGAGTTGCAGTAAACATTTGTGATTGGTTGCTTCTAGAGGTTAATTTGCAGCTCCAGGGATCTGTACAGACTGAACACAATGTGTCTGAACATGTCCAGAACAGCGCTGCTAGGGTCCTGATGAGGGTGCGTAAATATGAACACATCACACCAATCCTTCAGACACTACACTGGCTCCCTATTTCATGGATCAGGATTCAATAAAAAGTCACCCTTCTCACCTACCAGTGCACCCATGGAAATGCCCCCCTCTATCTCAAAGAACTCCTCACCCTACAATCCTCCACACGAAGCCTCCGCTCTGGAAACACCAACCTCCTCCATCACCCCCAGGACTAAACTCCACACCATGGGTGACCGGGCCTTCTGCTCCTCTGCTCCCAGTCTGTGGAACGCTCTCCCCGAGCAGCTGAGGGCTCCACAGTCTGCTGATGCTTTTAAAAGGGCCCTAAAAAACTTTTTAACAAAGCCTTCTGCTTGTGCTTTTAGTTCCGTTAGTTGCTTAGTTGATTAAATTTGTTTTTATTTGTTTGCACTTTGAGATTTTTTTTGCAAAAATGTAAAGTGCGTTACAAATTAAATGTATTATTATTATTATTATTACAATGTCCACGTCCTTCTTTAGCATTGATGCTCAGGGTAACATACAAAAGAGTGTTGCTTTAAGTGGCATCATTAGGGTTGTATAAAGATAAACATAAACACATCTGACACTCAATTTTATGTCAGCAGGCTTAACATCTTAACCCAGGCAACGTTTTATTTCAGTACAGACTGTGCAGGATTTTTGATAATTAAAAAAAATATATTACCACATACTGGGTTTATAGGACTTTTATTTTGTTGTTTTCTTGTTTAAACAGGCACTGTATCAGTATGATTAGATTTTTTACTAGAATTAAATTCAAGTTTAAAATCTGGTATCGTGGCAACCCTAGTGTGCTTTAACACTAGAATGACCAAGGCAGTCATTTTGACCATTTTTTTTATTTTGCAATGTAATAACTTACTTAAAACAAAATCAATGTAACTACAGGACCATGACTTTTCCTAAATGTGTCTATATTTTATTCTAGCATTGTTATTTTATCAAAAACACAAAAGAGTTTTGAGTATTTCTACCTTGAAAGTCCATAGCGGTCATATTGACTGAATGCATTATAGCCAGTGTATCATTTCAGTATTTGCTACTTTTTCCCACTCTTGAAGGTGCGCATCGCCATCCATACTACTATGTTTCTGTTAAAAAGAAACCTGAAAGAAAATATGCACGCCAAAATATCCAAGTGGGGCGGCTAAGGCTCACTTGGTAGAGTCAGTCTTCTCTCAACTGGAATGTCGTGTGTTCGATCCCCAGCTCCTGCAGCAACATGTCCGATGTGTCCTTGGGCAAGACACCTAACCCCAAGTTGCTCCAGCTGTTTCGTCAGCGGTGTATAAATGTGTATGAATGTGTATGAATGGGATTATTTACTTCTGATGGTCATAGCAGCCTCTGCCATCAGTATGTGAATAGGTGTGACCTGCGCTGTAAAAGTGCTTTGAGTATTCTGAAGACTAGAAAAACTTTTATAAACCCAGTTGACCCTCTTTCCATTTGGAAATTCGTATCCAGGATTTCTATAAGCACTCATTGAGCTCATCTCTTATTGTGTGCATGTTTTCACTTGCACACATTCAGTATGCTCAGTGCACATACGACTTTTCATGTGATATGAAGTCAATCCGTGTTATTGAATATCATTAAATGAATTCTCCAGTCTGTAGCAGCTGAAAGCAACATGAAGTTAATTCCAGTTTCTCAGACAGATCCTCAGCAGAGAAGTGTGTGTGTGTGTGTGTGTGTGTGTGTGTGTGTGTGTGTGAGGTGTTTGTTGCTCTGTGAGCTGATCACAAGGAGCTAACATTATCATTATTATCTGATTAAAATCATGGATGAAAGCTGACTGTAACTTTAAGCTTTAGAGACTTATTTTATGTGAAGCAGCAAAACGGTATCTCCATTGGGATGACAGTTTGTGTTATTGCCTGTTTTGTTGTACTGTTAGTTTGCAGTGATCTGATTTACAGGTAATGACTGCAGAATATTTCTGTGTTTGTCCCCTACCTGCTTGTGCAGCGGCGTACAGCGGCAGCCCGGTGATGACAGCAAACTCATCCGTGTGGATGGCACAGTCCTTGGCATCAGCTCCATAGCTTTGGACCAGCATCCGGACCACGTCCAGGTGACCCTGCTGACAGGATGTGGCCAGCATCCAGTTCAACAAGTCTCCCCTGAGACATGGACCTGTGAGAGAATCAGAGTGGTGTTCAGGAGAGGAGTCCGAAACCAAACAAAGACTGCAATCTTCACTTCTTTTTGAGGTTTTTCAGTATAAAATAAGATAATCTCTTATTGATCCCTAGTGGGGAAATTCAAGTGCTGCAGCAGTAAAAAAAACAAAACAAGAAGAATATCATGCATATGGGTGCAAATAAAATAAAACAAATGAACAGATCTAAGGTGAATTTGTAACTTAAATACTATGAGGTATAAATATCTAATTGAGAGAGGGATTGTTTCTATTTATTTCTTGCAGCCATGAAACAGGCTGTAATGGCTGCAACGTAATCCTTTAGGGCAAGGTGCTTTCTCTACCAATGACATGCTCACATTTCCATTATCAGAGTCTAAAAACAGCAATCAGTAGATCTGCATGTGCTCCTGGAAGACAAACTTTTCATTCTGACTTTACTCAGACTTTCTCTTGCCAGCATATTTCAGTATGAAGTCAATGTGAGCTCGTTTGAAATCACAGTAGAAAATATTTAGGACAATTCTGGACTCAGATGCTTCATCAGCCATATCCGCATTGTTCTTTAACGTCATGTTCTGCCTCCTCTTCCTGTCTGACAGGGAAAGTCAACCACCTTGACGTGCATGTGTGAGCAACCAGATCAAGATTTCAGGGGCAGCTTGCCTGAAACTTGAAGACATTTTCAGGGGTGTGTGTGTGAAAAGGAAAACAGAACCTCAGTCTAAGTTGTTTACAGGAGCAGATTAAAAAATATAATTTAGACCCAAAAAATACAGAAAACTGAGCCGGTATTTAAAACCATAGACCAGTTAATTCAAACTGAGTAGATTACTAAGAGCTGAGTGTCAGAGCTTTTCAGAGAAGCAGAGTAGAGTTTTCTGGCACACCTTCACCGACTTGAGCTCGTTGATGGACGGCTTGCCTGAACAACCCCCCCCCCCCTTGCTCCCTATCCCTCTTCCTGCATTTTATCCCATCTCTCCCCCTATCCCTTTCCAAGCCCGGCGCAGTCTAAGCCTGTGAAGGCTGTTTTGTCATGAGCCGGGGATCCAGCTGAAGAGTTCTGCCTTTTAATAAGACAGTTTTTTCTTACCACTTTAAGTTTTGCTGCTTTGCTAAAGTGCTCATGATGGATAGGCCGGGTCTTTGTAATATAGCAATAAGTAAGGTCTTTTACCTGCTTTTTGTAACATAACAATGAGTAAGGTCTTTTACCTGCTTTTTCTAACATAACAATGAGTAAGGTCTTTTACCTGCTTTTTGTAACATAACAATGAGTAAGGTCTTTTTACCTGCTCTTTTGTAATGTTAACAGACAAAGAGTAAGGTATTTTACCTGCTTTTTGTAAAGTGTCTCGAGATAACACTTGTTATGAGTTGACGCTATATAAATAAAAATTGATTGATTGATTGATTGAACATCGGCGCAGCATATCTAAATCACATGGGGTTATTGTAAATCATCACATTATGTTTTTATCTGTTTTCACAACTTTATAGGAAATAGAGATGTCTATAAAGATCTGCAATACCAGCTTCCACTACGGAGAAAGTTCTGCTTCAAACATCTTATGATGTTTTCAAAGCAAACCAAATGTGTGTATGAAGCTCAAATTTCAATTTAACTTGAATATCAAAAGGTATTGTTCAGGCTCAACAACAATCTGAAGAAACAATAAAGACATTGAGTCAGCGTCTACATTTAGAGCAAAGTTCTCTCTCATTTTGTACTTTGGTAACTATTTAAAACCAGAAAGCAGATTAGAAAGAAAATAAATTAATACATTTAAAACAAAGAGGGATTAATGTAATTTAGTATTTCACATTCACAAAGCTGGGGAACTGTTGAGGATTCAAAAAATAGGAGAGAAAAATAATATTAGTTATTGTGGGGTGCTACAGGACACATCCCCAAGCTCTCAGATTTGTTCTCTGCAGTTCCACCAGTGATACTTCAATTACTAATGTTAGCCTGCTAGTGTTAGCCGCGGTAAGCTGCACCAAGCATCTTTTTCAGAGTGTTCAGTGTTTGATTAGTGTTTATTCCGCCGCTCTGGGATTGTTGCACAGCTGAAACTAAACACCAGTATTTGGTGTCCATCAAAGAAATCCTGGTACCGAGCCTAGCTAACAGGTCATCAAACTGGGACCTGGTCAGCCTCAAGTAGCTGGAAGAAGCAGGAAAGTTCATCCAGACACAGTTCATAGAGGAGGAGGGAGATTAACCCAACTGGAAGGATCCTGTAGGCGAGTGATATGAACCCAGAAGGGACAGAGTTTGGTTTTCTTTTATATCTGGAAGGACAATTATTCCTGGGTTTTGGTAAACCAACACAAATGACCCTTGGGTTTATCCTGTGAGAGTAGCATGGGCCAAAACAGAGCTTTGCATTCAGTCAGAACACAGATCCAAACAGCTTCCTCACAAACTGCTCTGAATGTTTGTCTCCATCTGAGCGTTGAATGATGTCTTTTCTGTGGACCGTGACTTGTTTTTAAAGTTCCTCTGAAGTTATTTATTTTTTGTCTTTAAAACATTGACTCTCAACTCAGAAGAGAAAACAGTGCACTGCTGCACAACTAATTGACACCCCTTGTGTTTTTTTTTTTTTAAGAAAGATGATTTGACATGTGTTATGAGCCAACACATTGAATGTTGAGCTGTGTGTTTTTCTTACCTGGTATGGAGTCCAGCAGCTCTCTGACCAGCTCACTGTGTCCGTAATACGCCGCCAGGATGGCCGGGTTATTGTTGGAGGGCTGGCGGGCACAGTGACGTGGGCTTCTTTCAGGAGGTAACACACACTCTGCATGTCATCGTGCTGGGTGGCCACACACAGGAGACTCACCTACAACACACACACACACAAACTTTAAGCATCACCAACAATAACTGGCTAACTAACAGCTAAAGGATAACAAATAAGAAGATAAATTAATGATGCATGCTTGCTGTCAATTTCAGACGTTGTCTGTCAGTTTGTGCAGGCACTATCAGGAAAAAAAAGTCAGTTTGCAGAGTGTCCGCTTGAGGCTGGCTCCAGGAACACCGGGAGTCACATACACACAACAGGCAATAAAGCAGTTTTTACACTATAGATAAACACATTTACAGCCTGGTACACAAATTGAAATAGTTCCGATTAGTTATTGTCATCATGATTTTGAAAACGATACGTGTTATCCATAGTTAGGCGCGTAGCTGACATGATTGACAGGTGGGCACGATGTAACGGTTCGTCAAGAGGCTTAAAACCCACCTCAGCTCCGGCTCTCAGCCTGTCATTAGGTTGACTGAAAGTTACGCTGAGACAGCATTTCCAGCATGCTGCTGCCGTCCAGCCTCCGGAGCCCCCTGCACTAACAATCCATTTTTCTTTCTTAGATTTGTAAAGATCAAAACTGTGTAAATATCAACAGCCAAAAAAATAGAACTCCTGGACAACCACTATAGGTCGATTTCTTGTTTCCATTGCAGACATTACATGAAAAGTCCTGTACACTGTCTAAATTGCACAAATACATCGGCAACACTTTGGCACTGAAATGTTTCCAATGTATTTGTGCAATTTAGACAGTGTGACAGAGTATGCTTGTAGTTTTTGAACGATCCATTCCTCCCCTACAGACCTGTCTTATGTAACAGATGTAGTTTTTATTCACAGCATCCGTATTATTTCATCTATTGATCATTAAAATAACAGATTGTATCGTTTTGAACATGTGCTGGCGAAAAGTATCAAAGTTTTAAATATCTGACCACCTTGGTTAGCACCATGAGATAAACAGCAGCTGACAGTCAGAGAGTGTACTCACCCCGTCGATGTTCGGTACCCCCCCGCTGCACTCAACGCAGCAGGCTTGTTGGATCAGCTCCCGGGCAGCCTCCTCCTCTCCATCTTTATATGCATCCTGGATGTTCTCCAGAGTAGGAGAAGGAACCACAGGAGGGCCGTGCTCCGGACTCGTCAGCAACGACTCCTTGGCCCCCATTTGATCCCCCGGCCCTGAAGGCACAGAGGACAGACACAGGGGGGCAAACTGTGATCAACGGGAGTTAAAAAAGAAAAGAGCATTTCTGCAGAGGATCAGGTAGCAGGTTGGACTCATTGTAATACTGTAGTCTTGATAGCAGCATACGCCCAGAACTAGGTCACCCTATTAAAGAATTCTCTCACTGGTGCAGCTGAGTGGATTAGTGCAAAGTGTGAAACAGCGTCTGGTGGAATTTGCAGTGACACTGAGCTCAAATCACTCTCTCTCTATTTTATAAGAGCAAAAACAATGATTGAAAATGAGGCTTTGTTAGCATTTTGTTGGCTTTCCAGTGACGCAAGTATGGAATGTTTTTATCAAATATCTATATCATAAAGTCCCATGTATCATCGTTTGATATTATATATCACATCATGTCTTATTGTATTATATCATATCGTACTGTTGTGTATCCTATAGAATCAAATGGTATTATTGTATCATAAAACATCAAATAATATAATATGGTAGAGTTATAGTACTCAAAATTGTTTTTTTTTTTAAGGTCTTGGTCTCATCTAGGAATCTAAATCATGTTTACCCAGTCTTGTCTCGATCAGGTATGTCTTGGTCTCTAGCGTGGTCTTGACTACAACACTATCATATGGCATCGAAATGTATTGTATCCTATGGACTGTATCATATCATATCGTAATGCCTTGTATCATACCATATTAATTGTATTTTGTCTAATATAATGTTATTTTGTAATTAGGGCCCAAAGCACTGACAAGTGTGTAGGACCCTCTTGAAACCCAAATGTTTATTCTTCTTTCTTTCTCGACACAAAGAAAACGCAAATTTCGGGGCTTGAAGGAGCCCGAAAACTCAGCAAACTTTCCTCAGTCATCAGGTCTGGCGAAAAATGTGATATTTTGGTCGTTTCGTAAACAAATTTAGCAAAATGGCTCAGTGGCCAAAATGGCCTCCCCATAAAGGCTTTTTTCACGTACACTCACAGAAATTGGTACACATATTAAGCTTGTCAGGACGGACTGAAAATCCTCTTGCAGCGTTTCAAAAAACCAGACAGGAAATCCACAAATTAAAGTTGAATTTCACGATAATGGCCCAAAATCGCTGATTTCAGCCTTCCTATTTGAACACACTAGTTTGTATTGCATCGTAACAAAACAAATTGTCCCATATTACATCGTATCTTGTCCAACTAACCATGAAATCATATAGTATTGTATAAAATCAAACTGTACTGTATCAAATCATATGGTTCCGTTTTGTATCCGACGATATCGTATCACATGTAACAGAATCATGAAGTTTCATATCGTTAAATGATGTACAATTTATTTGATTTGTAAGTAGTTTGCTGTATTGTATCATGTCTTTTCTTATTGTACCTGATTATATTGTAGTGTACTGAATCATATCTTCCAGTATCAGTTCATATGGTATCTAACAGTTTCCTGTCGTATAGTAGCGTCTTAACTAACAATATCGTGTCATATCGTAACTTAAGGTAAAGTGTCGTATCCTTTTGTAATTTGATGTAGCATGTATTTGTCAATTATTGCAGAATCGCTGTTTTGTGGTATTAACGTCAATGTGGGCCATGTGTAAAGAATCATATCGTATCACATAGGATAAGGATAGGATAGGATAGTACTTTATTGATCCCCAGAGGGGAAATTCGGACTTCGCAGCAGCACAGACAAGTAAGCTCAAAATACAAAATACACATAAAACAGAATAGATTAGATAAGATAAATGAAAACAGGGGGTATATACAAGTACAAAATGAATGAATGATGAAGTAAACTGCAGGAATTGAGACAGTATGTGCAGAGAATGGCAAGATAAAATGACAAGTGATGATTAAAGTGACTTGGTATGATCAATTGCATCATTACAAAGTCTTATTGTATGACACAGTGTTGTATTGTATGGTGTCCTATCTCTGCCATTCCCACACCTAATAGACACCTCATCATCCCCATTCTCTCATCCTGACTTTTTAAAAAGCCTTTTTTGTTTTGTTATTTTCACAACAGAGCATCACTCCAGCAGGTTGGAGTCAGTCTGTTTATCTGCCTCTGCTGATGCGATGCCCCCTCAGGCCGACAACAAAGGTATTCATATCCTGTAGTGTGTGTGTGTGTGTGTGTGTGTGATGCACCATTATTTTCATATCTTGAAGAATGTGCATTACATTAGGGAGAGGAATAGCTCAGTGTCTCCTTTCTGAAGCAGCCTGAGTTTGAGATCTATCAGGATCCGAAAAATCCAGTAGAATGAAAAGACCTTCAGGTGTTTGCTGATACCACCGCAACTGATCTAAAAAAATACAGCTAGACTTCAAGTCTAGATTATTTAAGGACAGCAGCCAAGATAAAGTCAATGTTACTTTATACCTTAGACTTTCTCCGTCTGTCCACAGAATAGATCAGAATATGATTAGTTCACACTGTCACACATCTTCACTTGCAGTTCTTGACACATTATATGATGATTGTTTTGCCTGTAACTTAAGCAGCTAAAGCATGAGATAAAAAAAAAACACCCTGTCATCACAATGCTGTTGAATGTTTTCCTGTCAGAATGGTTAATGTTGTGTTTCCTCTTTCTGCTGTATCTGAGCTGCATGCAGAGGCTTTTCTATCAATAATTAAGACCCACAGAGTCCGACTGGCCTGCTGAGCCTGAGGAGAAAGCCTGGGGGAGTGTAACCATTAGACCCACATGTGCCCCCCATCATCAATGTTCCCCTTTCAGAGCCTAAAGGCATGACCTGTCAGAGAAAGCTCAAAGGAGGGCAAGAGAAGGGGGAGGCTATCAACATCTACTCCACTACTAGATTTCCCCTTTCACCCACCCCTCCAGAGAGAAGATCAGTGGAAAGATACACTCAAAGTACTGCACTGACTTTGGTTGTACGACACCACAGCAACACAAATAGAAGCCCTGGACACCCAATATTGAGTAATTCCTTGTGTAATGCCAAAAATTGTGTAAGGGTACCCAGAAGTTGCCAATTTAGACAGTGCTCTCTCTCTCTCTCTTTTCACTTGCAGCAGTTTTTGGTTAAATATATGTCTGGATATCTTTAAAGCTTTGTCACTTTTTGATCAATCATTAAAATAACAGAGATTGCATAATTTCTTTTTTTTAAAACAAGTGATATCGAAAACGTTTCCAAGTATCAAACACTTTGACAACTTTACTTCATATATAAACAACACGACCTCAGAAGGTCAACACTTTTTTTTATTTTTATGTTCAGGTCTAATTACAGATTTGTTTTTCCTCAACTGTTTATAGGTTCTTGTTTAAAGGGGTTATATTCTTCTTTTTCTGGTTTTATATGCCCTTTAGTGTGTTTTCCAAGTGTCCTGTGCATGTTTAGGCACATCTATTTGCAAAAATTCAAAGTCTGCGGAACGCAGCTTCTCCTACCTCCTCCTGTTAGCTGTAGCATTAGCTGCATGTAACGCTCGGTTCTAGCCCCCCTCGATAAAAATTTGCCAGTGTGACGTCTTGTCAATGTGAGATCACTGATCTAAGCCCATTAACGCCCGTTAACTTCTGTAGCACGCCCCCAAAATATGCCGTAGCCTGCAGTAGCACAGTAGTGCTAGGTGCTAATGTTTATGCTCCCCTTGGAGTCAGAAGTGAGCCGGTGCACGGAGCGACAGTCATGAAAACAGACACTTTTTTCAAACTTTAGCTATTGTGAATGTACTTCAGTAGGTACATAGATTAAATATACGAACCCCAAAAAGGGCAGAATATGACCTCTTTAAATTTCACATCTATTTTTATCCCTGCACGGGTTATGTACATTTCTTGTAAGTCTATTTTCAATTGCACAGGTTTAAGTTTGATTCATCTAGGGGTATTCTTTAAATCTTTTTTCAGGTTAATATTTATGTATGGGGGGGGGTCTGTTTTGTGGTTAATTTGTAACAAATGTTTCATGTCATGTACGTCTTTGTAACCTGCTACTGGATGCTTTGAATTTCCCTTGGGATCAATAAAGTATCTATCTATCTTCATAAAACCTTCAGAGCAACGCAAGAACCGGGCCTATTTTAAACATAAAACCTCCAGTGGAGGACCAGTATACCAACGAGGGAAGCGACAATCCAACTTTTCTCTGCTTTTTGGTACCAATATTTGACTTCCTGTACCTGTGCTGCTGGTAAAAAAGTGATGTTCAAAATCTGTTCACAAGCTGAGTGGAACTCTCTGGATTGATTTCAATGAAAGGTGACATGAGGCCAGGGATTAATATGAACCCAAATCTGAATAAATGACAATGCTCTGGCTGGCAACTATGAAAACACTGAGTTTTATAAGAACATTGACAAAGAGCCCTATTTAAGGTGGATCAATCAGGTCATGACCATTCTGCTTAATAAGGTCAGAGTGGGCACCGATACGCAGTAAGCTGATTAAATCAGTGCATGTTTCATTCAGACCTTAACTACACTCTTGTGGATCAGTGTTGTAAACATATTTTTAGTCCACTGATCGCTCCTGTGTCTCTTTTTAATGTTTCATATTTGAGGCTTTTGAAAAACACACCACAGACTTCCTGTTTCGATGAAAGGCTCCAGGTCAGACTGAGTGGTTTGGTAAAATGAGGACATATGTTTGCATGATTCATATGTGGAAAGATTTCTATGATCAGGCTTTCATGCAAAAACTACAGGTCAAACATCTACTGTTGTCTATATTTAAGATACTTTAACACTGCATGTTTTAAACAATTTAATCTCTGATGTTTTAATAATAGACAAAAACAAGAAAAACTTCAGATCTTCAGTCGTAATAACCAAAGTGAAAGTGAGTGAAAGACCGCAGAGCAGGTGACACTATCTAAGTTGCACAAATATGTGGGCGAGGTTTTGGTAGGGCAACATATTTGAGACAGTGTGAAATAGTTTGCCTGCAATTTCTGTGAACAATATTTGATACCCTATAGTGGGTTCTATTTTTATTGCTATGGTATCAA